AGGAGTTTGAGGTTGCTGTGAGCTAGGCTGACGCCACGGCACTCTAGCCCAGGCAACAGAGTGAGACTCTGTCTCAAAAAGAAAGAAAAGAAAGAAAGAAGAAGGAAGGAAGGAAGGAAGAAGGAAGGAAGAAGGGAAGGAAGGAAGGAAATGCACTTTGTGGTAGAGGAATTGGGAATTGGACCTTGTTGGGCGTTGTCACTAACAGCACAGTGTTGTGTAGCTCATCAAGGCCCACACTTGCAGAGCATTGCAAGGATCCCAGGAGCTTTCCACAATACCACATATTTCTGAGTCATAGGCAAAGTCACTCAGCATTGCCCCTAGAAATTACATGTGGAGGGAAAAAAGCCTCATCTGTGAGTATTCAAATGTGTTTCTTTAACATGGACAGGTCTAGAGATTTAAATATGTCCACTGATGTTTAATGCTAATAATAGCTTTTCCTGCATTTAAGTAGATGTGATCCACCTGACATTTTGTGACCATTTATTAATACTCAAGGAGAGTTTGCAAATTGGCTTTGGAATTCACTGCCCAAATAACCCCGGCGTCAGCTCAGACTGTGTTATTGCTGAGGATGAATAGAATATAGCATATTGCATTTCTAATTCTCCTACAAGCACAGGATATTTGCAATGCTTAGTGTTTTAGTTTCAGCAATAAGTACCAAAAGTCACAAAGCAAATACTAAGGTTGACTATTTGGTTTATAGATTTTTCTAAAAATGGTTTCAGTTCTAATCCCCAGACCAATATTTTGTATTTGTACTAATGCAGACTGGCACATTTAAAAGGTGGCCTTCAAGCACACGACTCTAAGGGGGGAAGTGTGTGTGTGTGAGAGAGAGAGAGAAAGAGAGAGACACACAGAGAGAGACAGAGAGACAGAGATGGAGAGAGAGACAGAGAGAGAGAGAGAGAGAGAGAGAGAGAGACCCAGCCCTCTGGTTTCTCTTGAAGACACTGATTCCACCCAAAAGACAAAGGGCTCCAGGTCTGTCCCCTACCATGGGGGACATTGTGCCCAGCATTTCCACTGGTACAAAAGTTTGTGTGAAACAAGTGAAAAACTGGAACTTCACTAAATTTCCAAATCACAGAAACCATTTCTAAACCTGCACGGGTCTACATACTTGTCAGAGGCACTACCCTGCTTTACTTACTTTTGAGATGTTCACTCTTTGCAATTACGATGATGTTAAGGTAAATCCACCGACTAATAGCTCTGATCTCTTTCAGTGCCCAAGACCCCTTCTTGGTCACTCAGAAAGCTACCACGAAAACTCAATGTGGTGTTGTTAGATTGCAGGCAGAGTGACTCATTGCAGCATCAAAAACGAGTGGTGCAAAACCACAGGGAAAGCTAATCTAAGCAGTGCCCCAAGTCCTGTCTGCCAGCGAGATTCCTCCTGTAAAATGTGACTTCCTAGGACCACATCCCAGAAAGAATAGGTGGAATTCTTGGTAGGGATGCAGGGTGCAAGACTAAGGGAACCGGACCCATTCAAGAGCTAGTTTATAGAATATCCACTCTGCTAGAAACAAATGAAACAAACTTTTTGTTCTCTTAGAGGCTTTACAATGTTATATGGAAACACCTGTGCAGTGGAATTTATATGGAAACCCAGAAACAAAGGCGTTGAGAGGCTGCATGCTGAGATCCCAGCTGTCCTGTCTTAACGCCTGTAAACTGCGGGAGGAAGCATGGCCTGCCGTGGTCTGAGCACTGGCCACGCCGTGCAGGTGTTCATGGGCTGAGCAGCCACTCCGTGTCCACCGCCTGCTGGACTTTGGACTAACCTGGGCTCACAGAGGGAGTTTGGCCACTTTCTGACCTCCTGAGTTCTCCCTTAAAAATGCAGATTGCCTCTATGTCAAAAACAAAACAAAACATTTACCTGGTGTTGGGCAGGTGAGGAGGAGGGGATGGGCATATGCATACATAATGAGTGCGATGTGCACCAACTGGGGGATGGACATGCTTGAAGCTCTGACTTGACTCGAGGGGGGAGGGGAGGCAAGGGCAATATCTATAACTTAACAACATTTGTACTACCATAATATGATGGAAAAAATGCAGTTTGCAGGAAACCCCTGGCCAATCAAGAAAAGAGGCATTTCTCCCTTCTGGCACCTTCTTTCATGCCATTTCGCTAGTGGCATCCCAGCAGACTTGGTTTCTCTGCTAGGAAAGTGAACTAACCGTTCTATCCATCCTGCTACCAGTCTCTGTGTTTGGGTGAAATTCGTTCCACAGATTTTATTTCCTTCTAACTTTTTGTCTTTTAGTGTAGAAAAAGATTGTTAAGAGAAATTCTCTTTATCAATTTGGGGCATTCTAGCCAAAATAAAGTAGCAGTTTGTAATTACAAAGAATAACACAGCTTTTGCCATACATAGAATAGAGAAAACGTAAGCACCAGTGATTGTCAAAGCTTACGGTGTAATGGAAAAACTTTGTACACAGGGTAAGACATGCAAATTCCTGGGACCCACCCGTTCTACAATGGGGACATTACAACCTCACCTGTTTTGAATCTCACAGTATTCTTATTCCCTTGTTTGATTAATCTTAAAAGGCATCTTGAATGATATATTTTTGTGGTATGATATGTGAGATAAAGATAATCACTTGAGAAAACCATTGAATTCTTGATTCTATTCCGTGCTCTCTCCAAAACAATGTTATGCGGTTGGTGATTATACAACCCACAGTAATACCTGCCCTCAGCATGGAGAAAATGAAGAACTATAATGTAAAATTCTAGAAGTGTGGTAGTGAAGAATTGTTGACCCACACTTGAACCAAAAGAAAATTCAGCATTTCCTTTAGGGTTTATCTATACCTACCTATGTATATGCATTGAATAAAAATCACATGAAGTTACAATTTTGCAGCATTCTTTCTTACCTCTGTATCCGTTTGCGTATCAGCTCTCTCAGGTTCAGGTCACTGTGAATGTATGAGCAGACTGATACAAAAGTGACACAGGCCACGTGTTTTCACTCTAAGGTTCTCTTTCCACATTTTAATAGGAAATTTCTGATGAGCACACTCGAGAAATTCAGGTTTTGTGATTTTTCTGACTGTGATTATTGTTGCTACACAATTGCCTGTGGAAAACAATTAGTGATCTTTGTTTGGGCTGAAGCCAAATGTCAATGAAGTTAAGAAAACAAATGCGCAAAACCAAGAGAAAACAAAACCTTTGGGGTCTGGCATCATAGCATAAGGTCTAGAAAATAATCATGTCACTCTGTTTTATTTAGTGGGTATTTGGTTTTGAAGTGTTCAGGGCTCCGCTAACTCAATTTGCTTTCCTTTTTTTTTTTCAATTAAGAGTTGCTTATCCTTCTTTGCTACTGTTCATACTCAGTGTAACTATAACAAATAAATACCTCTAAATAGCCGATGAAGTAGCTGGATAGGTACAATGTTGCAAACTGCAAAGGATTACAATGGCCACTCTCCTAGTAAGTGTACAATCTGGCCATGCAACTCTACAGTCTTCCTATTTAACAGAGACTTTAGAAAGCAAATTAAATTTCTAATTTCTTTGACGAGGCTGCCTTTCTGTCACCTTTTCCTGGCTGACACATGCTCACCCTTTAGACGGTAAAGGTCATCTATTTCGGTAGGACTTTCTGGTCTTCAGGATGGCTGTGAGTCCTGGCCACACAAGGTCCACACACTCTCAAGACTCTCCATATTGTATCTGCTCATCCTTTTTTACACTCTCTGTGATTGTATCTTATTCTCCATTTAATACTTATCCCCAAGAACATTTCAAGCCCACAGCAATCATCATTAAATTATTTCCAACTACATGATGGTGGCATAGAAGATAATGTATGTGGAGTAATTTAAAAGACATAATGTCAAGTGGTGGAATTACTTTGTTTCCATTAATTTCAATAAGCATTCCGTGAACCGGCAGTGGGCAGAAGCATGCGTGTCATTCTGTCTCCACTGGATGGCAAGTGCAGAAAGATGCCTTCTAGGTGTTGCGTCCATGACTCAAAACCAGGGCTGCACTGAAGATATTTAAAAAAAAAAAAAAAAGGAAACTCACATGCAAAGGATGTAGCACAATATCATTGTAGAATAATACAATCTTAATTTTGACATACAGCTTAGATTTCATTTAGTTCAAGTTCCACCTAGTGCAGTTTTCTTTTCCACAACATTTTGACATATTACTGTTGAGATTTGGGGTAAATCGTGTGGTATAAGTGAAAATCATGTGGCTATTCTAGTTTTGTGAATAGCCTATGATTGGTCTAAGACTTGAGTGTTTTGCAGTGGAATTCACTGAAGGCTGGAAAGCGATACGAGTAAAAGAACAGATTGCTCTCTCTTTGTTTCAAATTAGAAAGCCACGCTGAAGACATACATTCAGCCGTTCATATGAGGAAGCTAAAATACAAGGTGATCTTACTAATTCTTTCTTTCCATCAGTCACGGAGCTGGAATGAAGCGTTTTTGAAAGACATCCCTATTCTCTTTAGCTGTTCAGCACCCACTCCTCAGAGAACTGAAATGACCACGTGTCAGAGAAGAGTCACTGTTGGAAATGCTTATTTCCAAACACGGCTGTCCACCTTTAGTCTGGTTTTTAAAGTTTACAGAGACCTCCGGGCCATTAAGAGTACTTATTTGCTAGGCTTTTAAAGAAGAGCACAACCTCAGACTATGTGCACTTACTAAAAACTCAGCTGAGAAAAATATTTGCTAAGGTTTAAAAAGGAGTGTAGCCAGTCACACTGTCCAAATCAAGAATGAGTCCTGAACGATCTCCTAGAACAATGGGACTCCATTCAAATGTGTCCCCCTTCACATCATGTTTGCCTCGGTCTGAAGTCGCCTCCCCTTGGAGTGGCGCCAGGCATTGGAAGTCACCCCAAAAGGAATCATTGTAGTTTTTTGGGGGTGCACACTTCTAGACATGTTCTACGGATGTTTCCTTACATTTTTAATTGGTTTTATTTTGTTTCCAGCTGGCCACTGTGGATCCCCAGACCCCATCGTGAACGGGCACATCAGCGGGGATGGCTTTAGCTACAGGGACACGGTGGTGTACCAGTGCAATCCCGGCTTCCGGCTGGTGGGCACATCAGTGAGGATTTGCCTGCAGGACCACAAGTGGTCTGGACAGACCCCCGTTTGTGTCCGTAAGTGAACTGCTTGTGGGATGGTTCACTGGATCCTTCCTTTTGTGATCTCTTCTTGTTGCTGTTGTTGTAAAGTCATAACAGAAACAAGTTGAGTCTTAGGAGGAGAACAGGACAGAGAGCTCTCAGTTTTGCCCATCCAAATCACCAATATATTCACTCCTTCCCTTTTGTCATCTTCTTCCCATTCTGTTTCCTTTGAACACTTCCTTCAGACTCCCGTACACATTTATTTTGCTCACTAATTCATTTTACTTGTTTATTTATTTACTTTTTTGAGACAGAGTCTCACTCTGTTGCCCGGGCTAAAGTGCCGTGGCGTCAGCCTAGCTCACAGCAACCTCCAACTCCTGGGCTCAAGCGATCCTTCTGCCTCAGCCTCCCCAGTAGCTGGGACTGCAGGCATGCGCCACCATGCCCGGCTAATTTTTTCTATATATTTTTAGTTGGTCAATTGATTTATTTCTATTTTTAGCAGAGACGGGGTCTCCCTCTTGCTCAGGCTGGTTTCGAACTCCTGACCTTGAGTGATCCACCCACCTCAGCCTCCCAGAGTGCTAGCATTACCACTAATTCATTTTAAATGGACCCCTGGATGAGTGATGTCCATGTATTCATTTTCCCTGATTTTATCATAGTGTAAACTAGGTAGGCACAAAAGCTACTTATCAGAGGGTAAATAAAGATGCAGAGTCTGGGTCTGCAGGTAGCTCTGCAGATTCCTAAGCATAGCTACTCTCTGAATCTTCAGCGGTGTTTGTATCTTTGCCCTATTCAATCAGAATACAGACAAATTTGCAAGAAGTTCCTTCCTTTAATACAAAGAGGTGAAATTATGTGAAATGATCAGCCTCAAACTCTGTAAATTCAAAGATAAATATCAACTACTCTTTTAAGAATAGAAGTACCTTCTCTTTACTGCAAAATTCCTCTAAAAGCCAATTGTTTTACTAATATATCCTTTATTTTCCCGTGAATTATGTAAAGGAGATGTCAATTCAACTACAGGGCATTGGAAGGGATTGTCTGTCTGAGACAGCACTCTGGAAAATGGACAAAGTTCAGGGGTGAAAGCTTTACTTGGAAGAAAAAAAAACTTGTTGATGAGATAAATGAGGAGGAAAACACCAGTTTTATGATCATAATGTGTTTCTTTTGAAAGGCCAATGACAGATCTCTCCCTGCTGTCTTGCTGTTATTAATACTTGGGGCTTGACATAGTGGCAGTTCACTACATCTCAAAGGATCATACAAATAGGAATTGTCAACAAAAATACTATTTGAATGTGCATAGTTATTTTGCTAATTCCATGCTCTTTAAATTGATGCTGGAGTAATTTTACATGGAAATGTAAAGCCTCAAGCAAATCCTCATAATGTTTCAAAAGGGAAGTTTTACAAAATCAGCTCATGTGTATGAGGAGGAAAATATTCAAAATTCATGATTAATGCAAGAATTTTTAGCCTGTCTTTGTTTTTCACTGCTTCATTTTTAAATCACTTTGTATTATTCTGTCATTCTTCTAGCAAGAAATAATAATTATTATGATGAACAAAAAAATACAGTTGGCAGGAGCTAGTTATTTTCCACAATTATAATAAGAGCCTATAGGTTCAGCCTGGGATTCTTACTCCCAATGTTCCTTTCCAAATATAAACACTATCTGTGAAATGTCTGATTACTTGAAAACCCTTTAATCTATATATTTGGCATACCTGCATATTTATTAGTAAATAATCTCAGGACAGTGATGACCTTTTTTTTTTTTTTTTTTTTGAGACAGAGTCTCACTCTGTCACCCGGGCTAGAGTGCCGTAGCGTCAGCCTAGCTCACAGCAACCTCAATTTCCTGGGCTCAAGCAATCCTCCTGTCTCAGCTTCCTGAGTACCTGGGACTACAGGCATGTGCCACCATGCCTGGCTAATTTTTTGTATATATATTTTTAGCTGGCCAATTAATTTCTTTCTATTTTTTAATAAAGACAAGGGTCTTGCTCTTGCTCAAGCTGGTTTTAAACTCCTGACCTTGAGCAATCCTCCCACCTCTGCCTCCCAGAGTGCTAGGATTACAGGTGTGAGCCACCATGCCAGGCCAACCTGTTTAATACTGAACATCAACCTTGACCTTCCTCTCTCTATAGCCATCACCTGTGGTCACCCTGGAAACCCAGCCCATGGGTTCACCAATGGCAGCGAGTTCAACCTGAACGACGTTGTGAATTTCACCTGCAACACGGGCTATCTGCTGCAGGGGGCGTCCCGCGCCCAGTGCCGGAGCAATGGCCAGTGGAGCAGCCCTCTGCCCACCTGTCGAGGTAGGAGAAGCATCCGGGAGGTGAGCCCTTTGCTCTCTCAGAGTGTATCGGGACATCCTCTTCCTGTGTGTGCTACTTCCAGTAAGAAGTCATTTAAAAGCCCCTGAGCATCATTAAGACCAATACTGAAAGAATGGCAGCACACACTAAGATCCAAACCCAGGGTTCTTGCTTCTCTGGACTATCAAAATGGATTACATCTGGTGAAGTGGATGAACTGACCATCAACTGAGTGTAAAACCGCCCTGTCGCTTGGATGTGCATGTTTTATCAGCTTACTTAACAATGAAGTGGGAAAACGTATTTTTTAAGCTCTGATACTTGATGGTAGAGGAGGAAATCACTTCAGGTTTCCGTGTGTGTGTGGCATTCTACTTAAATTAAATTTCCTCCGGTGGCATTTGTATTCATTGCCTCTTTGCAATGAATAAGGGGGACCTTATCACAAAGACAGTGCCATGTTCCCTTTAGGGTTTTCATGATACTGAAATTCTCAAGTGGGAAATGCAGCCTTGGCTCAAATGACATTTATTTATTTAAGAACATGAGTCCTCTCTTCTTGAATACCTTCTTTTCTCACAGTATTTGAATATTTGAATGGCTTGTATTCATGCATATCTTTGTTCTTTTTAAAAGGGGTGTGTTTTTATTAAACAATTAATTAACAAGTTATACTTTCAAACATAAAGTTGGGCATAAGGAAATGGTAGTTTTGAGCTATGTCTGCTGTGAATATTTGTAAATTCTAAGTTGTTTTTTAAAGAAATGTTTCATAATCTATGAGACTGTGCAGAAGTTTTAGGGTAAGGCCATATCTGGTTTTAGGAATCATCCCAATTTCTTTTATGTTGGTTATAAGCTTTTGTACTTTTTTATTATTTCCAGTTAACTCACTGATTACATTTCCCAAACAAGAAATCTCCAACAGTTGCAATTTTACCCATAGATGTACAATTTAGTATGTTTTAGTTGTTATCCCATTAGGGAAATTTTAAATAATTTATATAATCTAACATCTCTTAATTTATCAGCGAGTTATGTGTTCTACGAATGAATTCATTGTTACAATTATTAATGGAAACATGCTGAGTGTCTATGTAGTCTGCACATAAGGTGAACAGGTATCCTTCGTACCAAACCTTAGAAATAAGAGGCCCATCGAAGGACTAGCCATTAGGAAAATCAACTTTTAGATGAGATGTGTCACCTAAGGTTTTGCTCCCAAAAGAGAGGAACCCGAGTTTATCTGAAATCGTGTATCCATTAATAATATAGCAGCCCAGTTGCTGGTGTTGATATAACATATGGAAAACAATCTGTAAGTGGAGAGAAATTATCACATTAAAATATAAAAAAGAGAGACAGTATCTGAGGGAAGACCAGAGTACGTCCACATTTCCTAGAGAAGACGCACCCAGCCCGCAGTTCATGTAGTGGCCGCAGAGTTTCTTGAAACGGCCTCGTTTGTTTGTTCAGCATCTCACACAGCACAGGATCTCCACGGTCCAGGTGAGTGCTCACTCAGCACATAAATGGGGATGGTCATCCCTTTTGCACCCTTCCCAGGGTGGAGAGGGGCTTGTCGTTCAGAGCAAAGACATGTTCTCTCTCTCTGCAGCTGCTGGGTGTCCTGGGTTGGAGAGGTGGGAGTAGAGTTCTTATATATAATCTTATATATTCACAAACTTGTATGCAATCTGTATATAATCTTTTATAACCTGCATTTTCAAGAAACCATATATTATGAAGAAGTTCCATATTAAGAATTGCTGTTGTATAAAGTTGATAGCTCTTTAATTAAAATCCAAAACCTTAATGAGTTAAGTTACATGCCTTTAAGCCTCCCTAGCAAGGCCCTTCATACAGACTGGTTATTATTTAGTCAGTACATGTGATAGAAAAATACACTCAAAGCTTGGAAATTAGAAGAGCAAAGAGATGATTAAGAATTAGCTCTTTCTAACTTTGCCTTATAACTCAGCTAAAATCAGCTCAGGGAAAATATACTTGCAAGAAGTCCTAAAGTCCAGATTTAAATGTCATCATGTAGATTATTTGTATGAGCCATTTTCTCGTGTTATTTCATGCCATTCGCCTCCTTTATGCTATGCATAGTCTATTTGGTAAGAAACCAACCGGGAAAATGTTAGTATCTGTCTAGGACTCAGAGCATTGTGTAGCAGAGAAAACATGGTCTTTGGAGTTGGCGTTCGATGCCACCTTGCTCTAGCCGCAGCGTCTTAGAGTTAACACTCAACTTCACAGGAGACAACAGTTTTCTTATATGAATAAAAAAGGAAACAATACCCTTTTCATAGGGTTCTGAGAGTTCTAAGTAAACCAGTGCTTAGCAAAGTGGCTGGAACTCAGTAAATCTGAGTTTTCTCTCTCAAAATGTATCTTTTCTCAGGAAAGTCAGGCAGTCAATTATAATTATAATCAATTGCAATGTTTCGCTTTCATCACACCTAAAAATAGAAACTACAGCTAAAACCTAGCCATTCAGTTTTATCAGTTATTGATAAAAGATGAACATAATATAACTTTTGCATATTTGAAAAATGGTCATACATTTTTGTTGTTGTTGTTACTGTTTTGTTTCTCTGTGACTAGCAATCCTTTTTTTTAATTACTATTATTTTGATTCATCCAGTCAGGGAACAAATCTAATGATGTTTATTGTCTGAAATACACTGAATATTTTGTAGTTATTTTTATCTTTGACCTCTGAAGTTTCTATAATTTCTTCTATTGAAAAGTTGAAAAATCACAAAAAACTTTCCTCAATTGTAAGTGCTTTTAAAAATTTTATTGAACTAATTTTTACCCTTTTACCTGATCACCAATGAATTTAAATTGGCTAAATTGGCTATTCTTACATTACAAAACATAGGTTTTAAAGAAGATTTTTCAGTTCACAAGCAGGTTTTTAATAAGCCATCAAAGACATTAAGAAAGAAGAAAGAAACAGGAGTAGACACTAAAAAATTACTTAAACACATATTTTAAGCGAAAAAAAAAATCAGGAAAATATGGAGAATTATTTTTCTCCTCCTTCCATCCCTCCCACCTTCTTTTCCCCTTCCTTCCTTATCTCCTTCCTTCTTTTCTTCTCTTCCTCCTTCCTTCCTCCCTTCCTTCCTCCCTTCCTCCCTTCCTCCCTTCTTCCCTTCCTTCCTTCCTTCTCTACCTCCTTCCTTCTCTTCCTCTTCTTTCCTTCCTTTTCTCATTTCTTCCTTCCTTCTCTTCCTTTCTTCCTTTCTTCTCTCCCTCCTTCCTTCCTTCCTTCTCCCTTTCTTCCTTCCTTCTCTTCTTCCTTCCTTCATTCCTTCTCTCCTTCCTTCCTTCCTTCCTTCCTTCCTTCCTTCCTTCCTTCCTTTCCTTCCTCCCTTCCTTCCTTCCTCCCTTCCATCATTAAGTGCTAAGAATACAGAATACACGGTCACCAAAGCCACCTGGTTCTTTCTCCGTGGGCCAAATCCCCAGCGCAGCCTCCCTCCCCACGTTGCCCCCGACAGCGCCGTTGAGAGGAACCAGCCTCTCGCTGCGCTGCCTGACCTGCAGCTGGGCCCCCCAGGTGAAGCTCAGTCAGACGCTCCTATGACCTCCATATTTGTCCATCCATCAATTTAGAATTTTTGTTGGAACAGTTCCTTTTAAACCTTACGAGTTATACCATATTGAAGGTTGTTGCTAAGAAAATTAAAATGTTAGGAGAAAACAATAAGGAATTAAAATTATATGTTTGCCTACGCAGTGTGCGATTTAGTGACTTTAAGTACAACCTTTGTAATTAAAGTGGAGAAACAATGTAGCAATATCACATCCCAGCCTCCTGCACCAGCTACACGTGGAATGCACCATGTATCTCCCTGATGCAGGCAGAAGCCAGTGAGACAGGCACAATAAGTCCACAGAATCCCTTTTGAAAACTGGATAAAATTTTGGACATGTTATATTTCCAGTCTACCTACAGAATGATAGTTTCTATTCTCTGTTTGATATTTGTGTGTGTGTGTGTGTGTGTGTGTGTGTATAATATGCACGTGAATTGTTTTTGTGTAGTTTTAAGGCTAATGATCATCTTAAAAAAATTTAAGCTCCTAACCTAAGTAGGTATTTCTGACTGCAGCTCTATATAGGACAGAAAAAGTGCATGAGCAGATTTAGAGTATTTGTGTACGTGCCTCTTCCATCCTGTGGATCCATCCAGTTGCCCAGGTGGAGCTCATGAAGTTTTCATTGCTCTCTAGCATTTTTTGCCACCCACTATTTTAATGGTGCTGATCTAGGTATTAATAAAAGAGAGGGAGGAGTCTGGGGTGCAGCATGTAACACACCTTCCAGGAAATCCGGGTGCACCTGGCATTTCATTTCCAGGGAGGACAGTGCTATCGTCCCCTGTGCCTCTCTCCACAGGCAAGAGGGGCGCTCGGGGAGAACTCCAGTGCATACCATCAGGGTGAGTTTATAGAACTCACGGGTTCCAGATCTCCTCCTGCAGCCCTGCCTAAACTAGGAGAACACCCCAGCTCTCGGCTGCAGCAGGGGTGCAGGTGGAGCTCGTTGCTCCTGCACCGATTGCTGCATCCCTGTCTGGGACCCCCTTTGCTTTTGTATTGTGTCTGCAGCCGGACCCTTCCCTGGAGCATCACACAAATAATGGCAATTGTTTTGCACACGTCCTTTCCTCGCCACACCATTAGGCCATAGTAAGGAAGGTGGGCCAAAAAAGGGAAAAAATGCAAAAAATAAAAGCAACACCAGCTCCGTCTGGGCTGCCAGAGTCCTGCAGCCGTTGGGTGTCCATGGAGCATCCCACTGAGCTGCTCGGTATACGCTCAGGGGCTCCCTCCCCAACTGCCCCAGTGGCTTCCTTGCTCTTATGACAAACACAGCTCATTGTTTTGGGGTGGTCCTGAGAGCAACATAAGCACAAACACAAAAGCATCCTTAGTGTCCAGGCCCAGGAAGGGCCTCGTCCCTGATCAGGGTGCAGCACTGGGGTGCTTTTCCCATCTCCTGGGCTTGACACGAAGCTCCAAGGGCTAGAGCAGCCCATTCAGTTGTCTTCCAGGATATACTAATAATCAGTTTTCCGATTGTATTAGATTTTCTCCAAGTAGGTAGTTCCTGCTATTTCAGAAGTTCGTGTTACAATTTTATTGCAGATGCAAGGCACCACGGGGCCTTAAAAAATACCTGCCTGTACTCCATAAAGGTGTGCCTAGATTTGGTTTTTGTTTTGTTTGTTTGTTGTTTATTTGTTTGTTTTTGATCAAAAGAACTCAAGTCTTTCTTCTGTAAGCCCAGGGTTGCTTAAACAAGCACAGATCACTATTCTGCAGCACAGCCCTGAAAGGGAACTTTGCAAACCTTCATTCTGCGCTCCACCTTCCTCCTTGACGTGGAGAAGAAATCAAATGTGCAGCCCAGGTTGGGGGTTGCCTGCAGCTCCTGGGGCCCGCACTGCGCAGTGGCTGCCTGAGATTCACGTGCACAAACCTTCCCTGAGCCAGGCATCTCTGGAGAGAGAGTGGCCTCTCCAACAGCTGCTCCTTTCACTGGTGTGCCAGGGGTCGAGGCGTGATGTGGTCGGGGTCTCTCTCTTTTCCTCTACTCCTGCAGAAGCACATGGCTAATCCCCTCGCAGATGCCCGCGGGCATCCAGGCCGGGAGAACGCCTTTCAGGGGAGCCAGAGTATGTCTTGCATGCCGCAGAAGACAGACCCACCACCGGTTTATTTCTAAAGGGAGAAGAGGCTTAAGTCAGAGTCTGGCTTGATGTATACATCATTAAGTGTTGATGGAGGAATCATCATTTTTTGTTGTTGTTGATTCGACACTTAACAGAAATTGCTGCAGGCATGCACATTGAAGCATTAATGTGTGCTGGGGAGAATAGTTACTGCAGTGCCACAGGCTGTCCTGAAACCTCACGCCTGAGTGAAAGTGTTTTAAACTAAACCCATGTCATCATCGAGTTCTATTTTACCATTTTGAGAACATAAAAACATAACCAGGAAAACTAATTTTACGATGTGAGTTAAAGAAACGTGTTATTAGGACATAAAGGACATTAGCTTCATATTGTTAAAATTGCCACCCTAGCAGGTCTACTACTCAATAGTTTTTGCAGCAAACTGGCTCAGAACAATAAGTAGAGTTTATCGAGGGAGCAGAATTTCATAAGCCTTGCCCACAATATTTGCATTGTGTGAACTTTCAGCAATGAGGAGGAATTCCCCTTCCTCTCTGATCTGCTTTGTGTGTGCTGTGTAGCCATTTCTAAATGACACGTACATGTTTTCTTTCCCAGTGGTGAACTGCTCGGATCCAGGCTTTGTGGAAAACGCCATCCGGCATGGGCAGCAGACCCTCCTGGAGAGTTTTGAGTACGGGATCAGCGTCCTGTACCATTGCAAGAAGGGGTTTTACTTGCTGGGATCTTCGGCCATAACCTGCACAGCAAATGGCTTATGGGATCGGTCTTTACCCAAGTGTCTGGGTGAGTGAGGCTTATTTTGGATCCTCATGCATGTAGCCCTACAAGGACACCATCAACAAAACAAATTATATGTGTATCTGTCCAAAAAGGTGCTGAATGTTAATTCTCTCTTCCCCTCTCACCACCAATTGTGTGAGTTCTTATGATAGTTTTAGACAGTTGGCAAGAATCCCCCAAATGCAACTTAAACTGATTTAAACAAGGTGTGATCAGCGTGTCCATATACCTGACCCCGGAGAGAAGTGGACCTAGGTTGCTGGACATCGCTTGGGCCACAGGTGCTTTTGTCTCAGCACTGCCGCTGCCCATCCTGGCAGCGGGCTTACACCACACCGTCTCTCAGCTGCTCTCTCTTGCCTCCGGAGTTCAGAGTCGTACCAGAGGGCTCTGGTGTGGAGTTTCCACCTGTTGGCCCAGCATCCATGCCCAGAGGATGGAGGACCCCAAGGGACTTCATTTGGGTCTCAGGAACCCTCCTGGTACAGGCAAAAGTGACCGCAAAGGAAAGATAGCGTCTTGATAGTAATGTCTTCTTGAATTGTATCTTCAAATCAGGGGAGGGAGCACTGCTCTGAAGAATGGAGGTGCTCCTCTAGGCAGAGAAAAGTATAGATCACCACCACGCCCCCCCCCGAAACATTATCATCAGTGTATTTTAGAGCCTGTAGATTAGCAAGAATATATCGTTTTACCCAAAGAGCCATTGTCTTATTTTCTTTAACTTGAAAAATCAGATTGTCTCTTTGAACTCAAAGAGAATCATCTTTTAAGAACATAGTCTGATCTGAAAATTTAGGAAGAGGTGTTAAATCTCTTTGGCCTTTTTAAAATCAGACAGAAACATAAAAATCCTTAAAATCAAAATCTTATATCCATAGCATGCATTTTGTGTGTATAAGGAAACCAGGAAAGGACAGCAACGTTATGAATCGAGTCCACACACACACACATACACACACATGTGCTAATCCATCCTGCATCTTGCAGTTACAGTGTTGGGAAGTACATTTGAGAATGGATTTGTTAGAGTAAATTACTTTCCCTCTAAGTACATTTCCCTCATACCCTTTCTGATTGACACAGAAACGTGTCTCAAATTTTAACTTAAACAATACAGTTAATTTCCGTGAAGAAAGAGAATAACTCAAAAAAAAAAAAACTGCTCACCCTTATGTGACCAAAACAGTGCATCTGTAAATGCATTACAATCTTCATTAAATGACATCTGCATCATAGTTTTCCATGTCTTCACACATGTGGACTTTTTGGAGAAATTAGCTTTGTTTTGTCTTTTCGTTCCCAGAACATTTAAGTCTCCCCGGCTTACGAGAGACTTCCGTTAGCTCTGGTAATGAGGCTGATGTGACTCGAATCTCCAGCCGGGTTTTCACTGACTCTCATTTTCCTCGGTGGCTCCCCTCCCACTTAGCTGTCATTAACAGTGGGAATGCCTGTGACTATGGGGAAACAGAGGGCTCGGAGGAGCACTTTGCTTTTGGGAGCTCCAGGGCCCATCTCCATTTGTTCCTGTCGTATTATTTCACTGAAGGCTCCCTTTTTCCTCTTTTGCTTCAACTAGAAATACTCATTGATCCAACATGCCACTGTTTCAGGTCTAACTGGCTCTGGTTTAGGACTCTGTGTAGATAACACCTGGTTCTCTCATATATGGATGTCCACGAAAGACAGACAGTGGGGAGGAGGAACTTGGCTCGGGGTGGGTGATGCCTTCCCGGCTTTTAAATCCACCTCTCTGGGGTTCATAGTTATCAAATGTCATTACTCCAGGCTATTAATTCAGTTGTCTTTGAATAATCCATTGGTAGCCTCAATCAATCCAGTTAGTTTTTTGCACATGGCATAAAACGTTGTCAATCCTTAACCCTAATTTGTTACTTCATGAAAAAAAGAGACGAATCTTCACTATCCTATTAATGTATTAATCTGGATTCCAAAATTTGCCTCTTTGAGGGATATTTATCAATAGATTATGGACCCAATTTGGCATAATTTTAATGAAATGAATGGAAATACTGATACCATTTTATGGAATAATATGAGAAAGAAATTGTCATTTATTACTATTATTATTTTATTTTCACATTTTAGATTGCCATCTATTCAAAGAAAACTTGATAGAATGGTCTTCCTAGACATGTGATTGAAGATTAAGCAGATTCAGCAGAATTTAGTGTCTATGCTAAATTTAGTCTTAGAATCCTTGGGGAAGCAAAGGATATGATTACTCTCTCAAATTTCTTTCAATACTGCTCATTTAAAATATGGTTAAGGGTAGATGGAAACATTTTAGTAGGACAGCTTTCTCCTTGAAAAACTACATGAACGTGTATGGATACCCTCACCTTAAGCAAAGCTACATTAAGACAAAAAAAAATATTTTTTTTCATTGACATAACATTTTCTTGTCTTTAGTAAATAAATATTCAGGCAGGAAGTGTCATCCAGAACTTGATATTTCGCACCAATTACAGTAGGAAACTGTAGGGGGTTGCCAACATATGCAGATGTTTTTCCTTGGTAGGTGATGTTACTGCAGGTGTCTATGTGGGAAATCTACCAACGCAAAGCGGTTTACCTGGAATGACATGCTCGTCTATGTTATTTGTTTTTCTTAAGCTATATCGTGTGGGCACCCAGGGGTTCCTGCCAACGCCGTCCTCACTGGGGAACGGTTCACGTTTGGGGCCACAGTGCACTACTCCTGCAAAGGGAGTCACAGCCTTGTGGGCAACAGCACCAGAGTTTGCCAAGAGGACAGTCACTGGAGCGGCGCCCTGCCTCACTGCGCAGGTGAGCAGTGCACCCTCGACGAAGGATCGGAAATAGGCTGTACTCGTGCCCCTATTTGAAATTCTTATTATCTTATTTCCAGCCAAATATGCCCGAGCGGTCCCCAACCTTTTTGGCACCAGAGACCATTTCCATGGAAGACAATTTTTCCATGGAGAGGGGTGAGGGGACTGTTTCGGGATGATTCAAGGGGATTGCATTTATGGAGCACTTTATTTTTATTATTATGACATTGAGATATCTAATGAAATAATTACATAACCCACCATAGGCTGGGAACCACTATTACAGACCATGAGCATTGTCACCGGCGCTATTGGCAACACCAGCACTTAAGTGGGAGGCGTGGGAGTGTCTGGACCATGTGGGGGAGGGAGCTTTCTCACTTGCTCCCTGTGCTTCCTCTCGGTCCCTCCATATTTTCCCCACCTCTATCATCAGGAATCCCATTGGCCTTCTTTGAAAAAAAAACAATCATTTTAACTCTCCTATGAATGTTTTTTAAGTAAATAAGATTCCTGGAATCAGCAACTGTGGGTGTAATAGTGAAGCATTGAACCTCTTGATTGATTTTTTCATTCCTGGGACACCTTAACGCTGTTTCCCTTTTGCCTTCTGTGCCCATCCTCCAGGGAGCACCTGTGGCTTTCACCAGCCAGAGTTTTCCTTCTTCTCAGGCGTGTTAATAGGCTGTTTTCATTCTAACGACACAGGCACAATGTGCTGCATTCTTTCATTTCCGGAGCTATGTCAAAGAAAATCTCTTTCCCAGGATTCCCAGAATGCTGTGTCGCCAATAACTCATGGTTACATCCATATCAAAACAAAACTTTGCAGAACCTTTAAACATAGTGACTGTTTCAAACAAGTATCACACAGCTGTGCATTGCCATGTGTGTTTGTTTTTGGCAGGAAATACTCCGGGGTTTTGTGGCGATCCGGGGACCCCCGCGCACGGGTCCCGGCTGGGGGACGAGTTCAAGACGAAGAGCCTGCTGCGCTTCTCCTGCGAGGTGGGCTACCAGCTGCGCGGCTCCGCCGAGCGCACCTGCCTGCTCAACGGGTCGTGGTCGGGCCTGCAGCCCGCTTGTGAGGGTGAGTCCCCTCCTGCCTGTAACACCACCTTGGCAGTTACAGCCAGGTGACTCAAAATCCCACAGAAATTCTATACATTTATACTATTTGCACAATTAAACCTTCTCCGCATCCCCCAAAAAATGTCTAAGAGCATCATCAAAAATCATGACTATAAGGTGTGTGGAGATATCCCGAGTGTTCAAAGGTCCCTGTGTCACTGATCCTTAAACTCTGAAAGTTTGTAACAAACTTGGAGGTTTCTCATCTTCTCCCTGGTGACAAGTGGCATGTGGATCTGCCAACGTTCTGTGGATCCCGGCAGTGAATGAGCAGGAACAGCTGGGTCACCGATGGAGATTTCTGAGCCTGGAAGTCAGTTTCCGTTCCCACGTCATTTCCCAGCTGTTGGCAGCCATTGTCTGGAGCGCAGTATCGCAAAGGAATCTAGGGCTCTGTTCTGTGAAATATTGTGGAGTGGATATATTTGGTTTTAGTATTTGAAAGGGGCATACTGTGTTTCCCCGAAAATAAGACCTACCCATAAAATAAGCCCTAGCAGGATTTCTAAGCATTTGTGCAATAGAAGCCCTACCCCGAAAATAAGCCCTAGTGACGGGCGTGGCTACACAGTGCGTCCGCACAACCCATGCACTTCCTCGCGGAGCGGGAAAGAAGACGAGCAGCCCTTCTCATCTGCCCCAGGAGAGCTCTAGTGCTCCACAGGAGAGATTGGGACTGATGGTTCTAAAGGAAATAGAGTTGCAGGATATTCAGGATGGAATTCGGGGTTTGGAGAGTTAAGGTGATGTTCCAGAAGAAGATGACTTAACTCTATTTGAATAAATGTAGATTGTACCGTACTTAAAAAATTAACACATGCCCTGAAAATAAGCCCTAGGGTGTCTTCTTGAGGAAAAACAAATATAAGACCCCGTCTTATTTTCGGGGAATCACAGTGGTAGGGAGGGGTGCAATGCTCCAGTGATGACAATAAAAACTGACATGGACACCTTGCCAGCATCACGCTGTTTGTGGGCGACATCTATCTTAGGCAAAGGGGAGTGGACTCGAAAGTCATTTTGTTTAGAGCTCAGAAAATAGCTGAGTTATAATTCAAACTGATACAACTTTAAATGTTAGACCCCCAAAGACAATCACCGCAGCAACAAAAATAAACAAATGGGACCTGATGAAATTAAAAAGCTTCTGCACAGCCAAGGAAACTGTCATTAGAGCAAATAATAGCCTACAGAATGGGAGAAAATATTTGCTTTCTACATATCCAATAAAGGGCTGATAACAAGAATCTATATCGAACTTCAGAAAATCAACAAGAAAAAAAAATCAACTCCATCCATAAATGGGCAAAGGGCATGAACAGAAACTTTTCAAAAGAAGACAGACTAATGGCCAGCAAATATATAAAAAGAAAAGTACTCAGCATCTCTAATCCTTAGGGAAATGCAAATCAAAACTACAATGAGATATCACCTAACTCCAGTTAGGTGAATGGCCTCTCTCGAAAAGTCCCAAAACAACACATACTGGCGTGGAGAGATTGGAACACTCTTACACTGCTGGTGGGACTGCAAACCAGTACAGCCCCTGTGGAAAATAATTTGGAGATACCTCAAAGAGCTAAAAACAAGAATACCATTTGATCCAGCAATCCCACTACTAGGCATCTATCCAACAGGAAAAAAAGACATTCTATAAAAAAAAGACATCTGCACTTGAACATTTATAGCAGCACAATTCACAATTGCAAAGATGTGGAAACAACCCAAGTGCCCATCAATACATGAGTGGATTAATAAAATGTGGTATATGTATACCATGGAGTACTATTCAGCTCTAAGAAACAGTGGTGATATAGCACATCTTATATTTTCCTGGATAGAGATTGAGCCCATTTTTCAAAGTGCGGTATCACAAGGATGGAAAAACCAACACCACATGTGCTCGCCATCAAACTGATAGTAACTGACCGACACTAAGGAGCTCACATGGCAGTGATGCTCACTGGGTGCCGGTCAGGTGGGGGAAGGTAGGGGCAAAGCCACAACTAATGGAAGTGGAACACACTGTATGGGGGAGGGACAGGCTTGTAGGCCCGGCTTGGGTGGGGCAAATACATGACATGTAACCAAAATGCTTGTACCTCCAAAATATCCTGAAAAAATTGAATGACTGAATGAATAAATATCACAACAATTCTATCTTGGCATTAAAAACCTTTAATGCCAAAGTATCAAGGCTTCGAATTTCTTCTTTAGCTCATGCTTTAACGTGTCTGGGAGGAGCCCACTTTAGAAAGGACAATGTGAAAAAGTAATTTTTATGCCTATAACTAATCAATAAAATTAAACACAACGGACAGCAAAGCATGCATTAAATGTCTTTCATAGGATTGCGTGCTGTGGTTTTGTAACGAATGAATAGCCTATGAAGCCAGTAACCTCTGGGTGGCTGTGTTTGTCATTTGCGCGTGGGTCACCTGCTCTGCGTGCTGCTGCTATTTCCCTGACAGCCGTGTCCTGCGGCAACCCCGGGACCCCCACCCACGGCAGGATCCTCAGCAGCGACGGCGTCCTGTTCTCCAGCTCCGTCGTCTACGCCTGCTGGGAGGGATATCGGACCTCGGGGCTCACGACGCGGCACTGCACGGCCAACGGGACCTGGACGGGCACAGCGCCCGACTGCACAGGTGAGTGACGGCCGCCAGGTGCGCTCAGGGACGTCACCGTAAAATCCACTCCACTGAGAGAGTAAAAAAAGGAGTGCCTTTAAAGTGTTTTATTGATTTTTTTAAAACTCATAGACAAAAGAAATACATATATATATATTTGATGTTATGACTCTTTCTTAAGTACTGTATGATTTTTCTCCATTTTCTTATTTATATGGTTGAGGCTACTTTAAAAGGCCAGTTGCGGCCGGGCGCGGTGGCTCACACCTGTAATCCTAGCACTCTGGGAGGCCGAGGCGGGCGGATTGCTGGAGGTCAGGAGTTCGAAACCAGCCTGAGCAAGACCCCGTCTCTACTAAAAACAGAAAGAAATTCATTGACCAACTAAAAATATATATACAAAAAAAATAAAAAATAGAAGGCCAGTTGTCTTGTACGTTGCAAAACTGAAGTCAAAGTAAACCCAGGCTTCCTCTGCCTGTAGACCATTTAGTCCTCAGGGAATTAAGAAAGCTGTGTGGTTCTCTGGCCGCAGCCTCGGTCTCTCTGGTCGCCCCCGTTAGAGGATAGTCGGGGGCGGAAGCCGGCACCTGCGGGGCAGCCCCCAGGGGGACTGAAATAAGTGACTGCGGACACACAGCTGCCTGGCGGGCAGGTGGGATCACCACACAGAGGACAGCGCCGCTTTGGCACTTCTCTCCTTAGTCGCTCTGAATAGGAGCCAGAGAGAGCACTCCTGAATGACAGCTCCCCCAGAGGGACCTAGAGCAGAGCGCTGATTAATTCGTTTCACGGGTTCTCTCTTGTCACCTGCCTGTTAGTTGTCAGTTGTGGAGATCCGGGCACCCTGGCAAACGGCATCCAGTTTGGGACTGATTTCACCTTCAACCAGACCGTGAGCTTTCAGTGCGCCCCCGGCTACCTCATGGAGCCGGCCGCGGCGGCCAGGATCCGGTGCACCGAAGACGGCACCTGGAACCACAGCAAGCCCATCTGCAAAGGTCTGCGCCCTCGCTGCTCTGTGTCCTTGTTCTTGCTGATGTGCACCAGTCTTTACTGATCATATTTGATTTTATTTTGCAAGCATTTATGCAAGCAACCATTCCAAGGGGCTAGGCATTCTTAAAAATCCATTTGCAAGGGTTAAATCACTTTATTTTGACAACACTTGAATCTCAGTTCTGCAGATGGGAAAAGTAACTCACAGAGAGGTGCAGCAAGAGGCTAGGAACACAAACCCGGTGTTGGAGGGGTCGGGATCCGATGGCGGTCATGCCACCCCCGGAGTCAGCATCTGAGTCCCGAGGCGTTGCCGTGTGTCTCCTGGTGACCACGCTGATGTTGGCTGTGCCAGGCCTCGTGGCAGAGACGGCGTGGATGTCCCTTCTAGGGATTGCTAGGAAGGTGGCAGAGACAAGATGCCATCTGGTGAGGGCAGGGTGCTTGGGGGAGAGGGTTAGTGCTATGAGGCGTTGTGGGCTGTGGTCGCTGAGACTGAAGAAAGTGGCGTGATGAGGTTTGCAGCGACTCCTGCGGTTGGACTTCCGGCAGGTCAGGGCGTCTCTCAGTGACGGGGAGCGGGGATGGAGCTGAGCAAGGGCGGGTGGGGTTTGCGTGGTCACGGTTTCCGTGGGCACCGCAGAGGAGGGGTCCCGGCACCCTTATTTGCGGCAGGACAAGAGGGGAAGGGAGGGGCAGGGGCTTGAAAGCTGCCAGTGGCCAAGCAGAGCAAAGTGGCGTCGTCCTCTGGCTAGACGGGAAACAGGCCGGACACTGAGAGCGTGAGAGCCGGAACCCAGGCAGCTTCGTTCGCGGAGGGGCGGTCCTCTGCGGGCTCTGAACCGCAGGTGGTTTGGTGCAGACGGTTTGTCTCGAGGCTTCCATGAAACCCAGGTGCTCAAACACTTTGCCCCCATCTCCTTACACCCCGCTGGTGTGGCCGTGTTCAGGACCTTCCTCCTTCCTCTCCCAGCAGAGTTGAAGGACGGTCTCATGATCTCCTGTTCTTTCGATTGGCATGCTGCCTGTTACGCAGGGGTCCTCAGGCTTTTTAAACAGGGGCCAGTTCACTGTCCCTCAGACCACTGGAGGGCCGGACTATAGTTTAAAAAAGCTATGAACAAATTCCTATGCACACTGCACATACCTTATTTTGAAGTAAAAAAACAAAGGGGCAAAAATGCCTGCATGTGGCCCGCGGGCCGTAGTTTGAGGACACCTGCTGTTACATAACAGGCACTGACTAAATGCTTAAGGAAACTCGCAAAGTGGTGCTGGGAGTGTCCCAGTCAAATGCTCTTAATGGGAATTGCCAGTAAAGGGGTCTGGCTGCTGTGACTTCATGGATGCTCTTGTGGGTTTTTATTCTTCTGTCATCCGTTTGATTCATCATAACGCCGCGGCCAGCAAGGCCCAGTGAGACTGGATCTGTCTCTGTCTCTGTCTGTCTGTCTGTCTTTCAACTTATCTCCTTCTATTCACCCCGTCACACTCTGGACTACCCTTTGTCTCTTGGCTGTGCCCCTTGGGGCTTTGCCCCCAGTGTTCCCCCAGTCTAGAACACATGCTCCACGAACTTCACTGGAGCCTCAGGAATTATTTGTTGACTCAATGAACAGGTGCCGTGGCCAGAGAAAGACCTACATCCAGCTCTGGGTGTGTGCACGTGTGATCTGTGTGCATCAGCATGTCTTTCTCATGGGAGAAGGCATGAGCCCAAACACGCTAAGGTGTAGGCAAGCCTGTTCTGCACCTTCTGCTGCTGCCAACAGGGTCATTTGGAAACTTCCACTAATTTCAAAAGTCCAGGAAGCTTTTGGATCTCTGGAGAGGAAGAGTCTAGAGTGTCTGTTGGATTCCCCCCACACACACACACTGTTATGCATCTTGGTATACTTTCTGGAGTGGGAAAGCGGGGACCTGTGGGGCAGGCACCAACAACACACCTTCCCCAGGAACCATGTTCTGCTCCTCAGGCCAATAAAACAGACATCAGGCTCCGGGGCTGCGATGAGACACTTGCACATGGTATTTTACAGAACCACCTTTTAACCATGCAAGCATTCAAAAAATATTCAGCAAATAAATGAAAAGACTCTGTCTTTTGGAAATCATATACTATTTTAAAATAAAAATAAAGATGACAGGGGAAATTCTTGCCATCTGTATATATAAACTCATGTCATAATGGCCAAGTCTTCATTTGAATTGTGCTCAGTAACCATCATAAAAAAAGACACAAATCAAATAAGAATATTTCTTCTTTTGTTGGCCGTGTAGATATTGAGAGTGTCAAGTTCAATCCTGTTTCCCTTTACCGTAGGATGCGTTTTGACTCGACTTTGCTTTTGCATATGTGATCCAAATTAATGAGGAAATGTCAGGGCAGTTTTCTTATTTTGATATACTGTCTTCCCTAGTAATTCTTTTATATTAAGAAAAAAATAACCCTATATGGAGATGTCATTTGTAACTCAGGTAAAATTGAAATGTGAGCTGTCTGAACATCACGGCGGTGGTGGAAGCTCCAGAATGTTGAGTGTTGTTTGTTCTTTGGAAACAGCCGTCCTGTGCAGCCAGCCGCCCCCAGTGCAGCACGGCAGAGTGGAGGGGACCGACTTCCACTGGGGCTCCAGCATAAGCTACAGCTGCGTGGACGGCTACCAGCTCTCGCACTCGGCCATCCTGTCATGTGAAGGCGGCGGCGTGTGGCGAGGGGAGGTCCCCCAGTGCCTGCGTAAGTCCCCGTCCGCACCTGTCCCGCCCATCACAGGTGCAGCGGTGACCAAAATCACCACACACTCCACGGTTAAAACACAGTGACGTCTGGTTATAGCCTCATCATCATGCTTAAAAACTCCAACTCGAGACTTCATTGTGTGGCCCGGGGACAGATGCTTTCCTTCCACCCCTGTGCTGGTTAGAATACGGTGTTTCTCCGAAATAAGACCTACCCATAAAATAAGCCCTAGCAGGATTTCTAAGCATTGGTGCAATAGAAGCCCTACCCCAAAAATAGGCCCTAGTGATGGGCGTGGCTACACAGCGCATCTGCACGACCCATGCATGTCGTCGCAGAGCGGTCAAGAAGATGAGCAGCCCTTCTCATCTGCCCCAGGAGAGCTCTGTTGCTCAACATGAGAGATTGGGGCCAATCTAAAGGGAATAGAGTCACAAGAAATTCAGGATGGAATTCGGGGTGTGGAGAGTGATGATGATGTTCCAGAAGGAGATGACTTCACTATATTTGAATAAATGTAGATTGTTGTACCGTACTTAAAAAAAAAAAAATAACACATCCCCTGAAAATGAGCCCTAGGATGTCTTCTTGAGGAAAAATAAATATAAGACCCTGTCTTATTTTCGGGGAAACACGGTAGTTAACCCTCAAACCGACGAAACAAGTTCATTAGATGAACCTGATTTGGGGACTCCAATAGAGCTGACGTCTATCCATTGTTTCCCACAGCCATGTTCTGCGGGGACCCCGGCACGCCCGCGGAGGGACAGATTAGTGGGAAGAGCTTCACCTACAATTCTGAAGTCTTCTTTCAGTGCAAGCCCCCGTTCATACTCGTGGGATCGTCAAGAAGGGTCTGCCAGGCGGACGGCGCGTGGAGTGGGGTTCAACCCACCTGCATCGGTGAGAACCCTGAGGCAGCCACAGACTGTTCGGGGATATTTGGAGAGGAGGAGGACACTCCGTTCCAAAACTGGGTCATTTGTGGTGATGTAGATAATGTTCTTACACATGATTTTCTGTGCAAGGTAATATTCTTTGAGAAGGCAATAGGCAGCTAAACTGATGTGCAGTGTCTTTTAAAGCCTGCAAACTGAATTTGGAATTGACACCAGACATCTGCTAAAGTAGCTACTACACTTTGCTCTCCTTCCTTCAGTGGCTCTCTTGTGTGCATCCCAACTGAGAGCTGCACTTTTGGGGAGAAAATGCAGTTATTAACGTTTTCTGAGATGCCATCACCCAAGAGACAGCCTTGGTGGTGTCTGACTGCTGCAGACTTGAGTTTTATTGTTGGGTTCATTTTGTTCACAGACCTTCCTGGGGCAGAGGAGTGGGTGTTCTACAGATTCATAGTAAAATATGAATGATTATTTTACATTATTTCCTAAGAAATTGACTGTCTGCTTAGAAATAGAGACAGCATTAGAAATGCTTTTTCTACTTATAGGAACACACACTGTCTTCTGACTCAAAATACTGCTACGTGGTAGCCGTCTCTACACTATAACTATCTTTCTTCCCCCTTAAGGTTAGTTGCCCTAGTGAACAAAGTTCAAAGTTATCTGTTTTGTTCTTCTACTAGCAGCTGGAAAGCAGCAAACAAGGAAGTTGGAGTGCTCCGTGATTGCTCAAGTTCTGTATTTTTGGAAAATGTCCCTATTGGCTTCTCATAGGCTTCAATTTTGAACCGTTAAATGTAGTCCTCATTTTGATGTCTTGAGAAAAATTAATTCAAGAAATTTGGAAGGACATCACAGATGGCCAGATGAGATGCCGTTGATAGAAACCTCATAAACTGAAAGAACTTAAGAGATCATTATTATGGATAGTATAGTGTTAACATAATATATATGCGTCTGTAGAGATAATTAAACCAGAGAATGGAAAAGAATGTACTTATTCTTATATAGAAAAGAACATGTAGAACTATTAAAAGTATGATAAAACTCTAAAAAGTAACATCTAAAGGAAATGTCTGGAAGAGAAGATAAAAATAACAATTGAATTTTTAACTGTCATTAAAAACATCTTGCACATTTGTCAAAAAATATTTTATCAATTTTGTAAGATCCTTTAGTAAAAAAAAAAAAGATAGAATTTCTGTAATGGCCATATCTGGTCTTTCTTTTTAATTGTGAATTTCAGATCCTGCCCATAACACCTGTCCAGACCCTGGCACCCCGCACTTTGGAATACAAAATAGCTCCAGAGGATATGAGGTATTTCATTTTTATATTACTATGCTTTTCTAGAAATGTAAAATATAATAGATACATAAATATGAATATACATGTAGGTTTTATACACCGTATCTTATTCTCGTTATATCTGCCTAAATAAAATTCATTCGAAGAGGATTTCTATATGAGTTTTTAAATGCCAAAATCCGTAAATCCATTTGTATTTTGATTACAACAGAAATAATTGTGGTATTAATTTCTGCGTGAAAGCAAGCATCCTTCTCTTCCCTGCTACACTTATGTGGCAGTTCTATAATTGAGGTAACCTGTCATTGCATAGCTACCGTGAAAGACTTCATTTAGGAACTCAATATGATTGGCAAATAACATTTAATTCTAGAGAAATAAACAGAAGAAGAAAAGGTATCAAAGTCCCTGAGTCTAAGTTCCCTTGTGGAATCTGTTCTCCCTACGATCTCTTAAAGCTCTGAGAATTATCGTCAAACTAAATATTAGTTTGGGATGTTCATTTGACACTTAATAAAATGGACGTGAAAGTCTCAGTTAATATTGGGGAAATATCTAAGAATGGATGGTAATGAAGCTTGAACTAAAATGATTTAGCCATCTTAATTACTCAAGTAACTTCATGTCTCTCTGAGTATATGACTTTGAAAAATGAAGTTAAATATATATACTATTTCCAAGATAGAGATATCATAGATTTAGAATCAAAGACCATTTTCCTCAACCATCCCCCTCCCCCCGGATCTCTCATACCCAGTAAAATATTCCCATTTTACTGGGTCTGACACGCATTGACTATTTCCTTATAGCTCTCTTGCATTTCACAAAGAAACTTCTCATCGGTAGCTGGTATGTTAAATCTGACTCATTTTATATTAAGTCTCAAATATGTCCTTAAACTCCAGGAAAATGCTTTCTCGCATATGAATATTTATACCAAATATCAAGGAATATTGTAAAACACCATATGTGGGTATTGTTTTCATTAACTCCCTACAAAAAAAGAGAAGTTTGATCACCGTTGATCACGATTGCTTTTAGCAATCCTTAACTTCCCTGTGCACAACTTACAGTAAATAAAATTTTATGACGATCGTATATAGCAATATATTCCTACCATGGATAAATCCTTCACCCTCCTTAGGACAAGATAAAGTTGTGCTAACTCAAATTATAGATTGTACCCAACAGCAACAGCAAGGTTTACTGATATTTTAAATGACACAGATATCATCTTTTAAAGGGATGGTTGAGACCACAAGATGCAGCTCTCACAAAAGCTGCTGCTGCTGCTGCTGCTGCTGCTTCTGCTTCTTCTTCTTCTTCTTCTTCTTCTTCTTCTTCTTCTTCTTCTTCTTCTTCTTCTTCTTCCTCTTCCTCTTCCTCTTCCTCTTCTTCCTCCTCCTCCTCCTCCTCTTCTTCTTCCTCCTCTTCCTCCTCTTCCTCTTCCTCTTTCTCTTCCTCTTCCTCTTCTTCTTCTGGAAACTTTTTAGTTTTGAATGTCACAGATGAAATTTTTATCTGTTTTCTTTAGCACATGCTGAAACGTCACTTACGCAAAGTGAACCATCTCAGTTTTGGAGCTTCCCTGTGTTCTCCTATTGTTAATTATGCAATTCATGTGACTTGTCTCCCATTCTCAAACCAGGCGTGGCCCCTAGGTGCACAAGCTCTGGTTAATGCACAAGAATCCATTCAGAGTGCCTGCATATATCCCGTATAACGCTTTCACATGCAGTTAAAATGTGCATGTTAATTCAAACAGTGGTTTGGGGCGAAAGTAAGCAATTATTAGTATACTTGTGCGCTGGCATGTGCTTGCGAGCATTGCTCATTTATACTGACTGTGTTCCTTTTGCCTCTGAAACTAGTACTGGATTTCCTTTCCAGGTGGGAAGCACCGTTTTTTTCAGGTGCAGAAAAGGTTACCACATCCAAGGCTCTACGACCCGCACCTGCCTTGCAAACCTGACGTGGAGTGGGGTACAGGCCGAGTGTATGCGTAAGTGTGATTTCCTCCACCACGGTCGGCAGCGGCCTGTTTATCGTCAGATGATGTCTGGGAAGGGTTTGCCTTCAAGGGGAATCACGAGAAACTGTTCTGTTTTTGTTTGCATTTAGTCCCCTAATCCTAAACTTTTGAGTGGTGCTCAGAGTGGGGATGCCTAGAACCAGCAGCTTAGTGGCATCTCCTGGGCGCTGAGTAGCGATGCCTGTTCTCAGTCTGCACCCCAAGGCTATGGGTCAGAGACTCGGCGTGGGGGGACACCAGTCTGTAGTTTTCCAAGCCCTCTGGGGGCTTGTACCAGATTATTAAAGAGCGGGTGAACCGGGTCATGCGCATGTCGGTATAAGAGTAGAAATGTTTAAAATGGTATCCTTGGTATATAGTTGAAATAGATATGCATTGATCATTCAAATGGTTGCTTAAGGATCAAATTTTATTTCATGAGAATTAGAAAAAATGTTATATGAATGATGAGTAAGTCAGTCATTCATTTCACCTGCTATGACTTCAGTGAAATATAGTGTCTTACCTTAATATGTTGAACATAAGAACATTAGTAGATGTTATAAGAAATTATTTAATAGTATGTAAGGGCTTTTGTATAATTATTGATCATTATTATGTGTATTTATTTCAAAGCTACCTTCTCTACTCTAAACCACTACTCCAATTATATGTAAATGATATATACACATATATGCATACACATACGCTTGTATGTATTAATATGTGCATGTGTGCACATACACATATATAATATGGAGCTTGATAACATCAGGTCTTCATTATGTTGAAGGTTTGAAAGTTTACTAAATTGCCAAGTAGTGATAATACTTAAAGGAATTGCATTCACAATTTTAAAATGGTAAACTCCTTTTATAACAGTCTGCCAATACCATGACTTGGGACATATGCGGACTTTACAAACCTCTTTGAAACATAGAATACACATTACAATCTCATTTACTCCTAAATTATATTTTAAAGGAAATAGGAATTTGTAGTATTTTAATTGTTTTGAAATACGTTTCAAATTTTTACCAACATTAATTAACTGAATAATAAATTTGCTAGATGCTACCAGAAAAAAGAAACCAAAATGTTATTTCTGGATATGTGCCAGTCCGTATGTGTTTAATATATAAAATTACCCTCTTAAGGACTTATAAAACACTATGTATTTTTTTAGATAATCTTTGTAGTATATCAGAAGTGTTCTGTCTATTTCAAAGCTTTGATCTCTAAATCTTTACACATAACTATATATAAAAACCATTTCCAAAATCTTTTGCTCTATTTTTTTTATTTTTTTTTTTTAATTTCAACATTTTTATTATCCTGGATGCAACTGGAGCCCATTCCACTCTATTTATGTCATTAGACACACATGCTAACTCTACAGCGACCAAGGTTTCACTGTTTCCTAATGGCATGGATACTGTTTCAGCTCATGCTTGCAGACAGCCGGAAACGCCAGCGCACGCGGACGTGAGGGCCATCGACCTTCCTACGTTCGGCTACACCTTGGTGTACACCTGCCACCCTGGATTTTTCCTCACGGGTGGATCTGAGCACAGGACGTGCAAAGCAGATATGAAATGGACGGGGAAGTCGCCTGTTTGTAAAAGTAAGTCATTGATCACAGAACGGAAGCTCATTCCCAAGGAGCAAGGAAGAGTGCCAGCTGCCCACAGGCTAGTTCCAGGTTTAAGGCTCATAGCAGCAGCATGATGCTAATAGTGTCATCACCCCGCTTCAGCCGTGCTTGGCATGCGTGAGCTGTGTGTGCGCGCAGACGTGCGTATCTAAGTGTCGGATACGATGGTGGTGTAGCTAAACGGAGGCATAGATTTTATCATTTGCTGATTTCCTATTAAGCCAAAGAGAAAAGCGAGTTGGTTAAAGAAAAGAATCCTGAGTTAAAAGGAAAGCAGTACACAGTGTATTTTCACAAAATATATATTTCTTAAAGATGGAAATGGATAAATATCAACCAAGTACCTACAAAAATATAAATGGAACTTTCTGTGTCATTTTGAAGACCGCAGGATGTTTGTGGCAGAAGATAAATGTGTGTGTTCTTGACATTGGTTCTACGTTTTCAAATGACAGAAGCGATTAGCATGGAGATGAAGCATTAACGCATCACAAATGTGTGTGTTTGCAAGTGAGAGTAAAATGTCTGGCTCAGATTTGATAGTAGCTAAAGCTGCAGGTTCCCACCAAACATAATTTATATACACACTGAGCACTAAACGGCATAAACAAAGAGTCCAGCGTGCGGTCAGGTCAGTGGCTTTAAGTTTAGCCTCCTGGGGCTTCTTTGTCATTCTCAAATGAGGGACTTTTAAGAGACATTTGTTTCCCTTGCCCTTCGCTGTCAGAAATAGAAGAATGCAAAACATGCATTTAAACATGACAAACTTGTGGTTTGATATATGACCATACAAACTAAAAGATTATGAGTTAAATCTAACTTGATAGACTAAGTTAAACGTTCTGCAAAGGAAACAATTTGAAGTTCTTCAACAGTAATTTATAAATTCGTTGATTTGGGTGGGGGACTGGAAAATTAAGAAGGGTTATGACATGTTAGTTATTTTGGACATCACCTCTCAGGATGTCCCTAAGAGGGTGTCGGAAAGTGGGCACAAGCCACCCTCATTGCAAGGCTCTCTGTTGTAGCACTTTAAATGGAGACACACGTTAGGTAGGTGTGTGCTGAGTTTTCATCATTGCATTCAGCCTTCCCACAGACACAAGGAATATCCTGTTGTAAATACATGGGTTTAAAACATAGGTGTATAAGGTATCTGTATTTTGTGCTTTTAAAAGATCTGGAGAAAGAAAGGAAAATTGCTTCAATTTGACATTTTTTTCAAACTTATTCAAAAAAATAAATGTTTTTGAAAATGATAATTTGTCTTTTTACTTGTAGGTAAAGGAGTGAGAGAAGTTAATGAAACAGTTACTAAAACTCCAGGTTTGTATACCAGAAAAGTTATAGATTTCGATCAAATAAAGTGATTTGTTCTCTACTATACTTTGTACAGTGAAACGATCTTTAACATTTAAATTTCTGAATCCAGTAGTCCATGACAACACTAACGTTTCAATTATTTAAAACACCAAGCCCACGCAGTAGATTTCTATCTCTTTCACAACAGTAGTTTGTTAAGGAAATAACACCGCTTCACTTGCAAAGAAAACCTTTGGCGTCATCACGCAGTTGCGTTAAAAGGTGCCTCGGGCGTTTCGTAGGCAGAAGTCGACATAAAAAGTTGGCCCTGCGTGTGGTATAATGGAGAGCCTTATAACGAGGGTTGCGGTCCATCCTTTCTCCAAGTGAAGGAGCTCTTTCAGTGAGGCGTTTTGACAGATTCAGTTGTTGATTTGCACAGTTTCCATGCGGAGCCCCATTTTTTATCACATTATCTCCATAATTCAGGTATCCTCTGCCTTCTAAAACTTGAAGTATACTTCTGGGTTTTTTTGTTTTTGTTTGTTTGTTTGTTTTTTGCGGTTGTGTGTGGTGCCTTGCTAACTGCATTATGCAGCGAACTGGAAGGGTGCAGCCCCACTCTCTGAGAAAGGTGTCGTCACTTGGAATCTTCTGGCATATTGTATCTGTGTCACGAATGTAGATGCTATTTAAATCACAAGATGTGTCCTCAAATTATATTTATTTAAGTCAAATCTTTATTGTCGTTTTCTCAGAAATAGAAAACCTTTGTAAATAGATGAGGTCATTTGACTAGTATTTTCTTTATTCAGGTGTTAACACTAGATTCTTGGACACAAAGCTCTATTTTAGAACCGAATGTGCAAAGAGCATTTGCAGTGCTGTTAAGTCACAATTCCATGTTACACGTTTAACCCTTAGACTAGATAAAATGTACCAACATGATTAAAGGAATTTCTCCAATTTACACCATGAAGAATAAAACATACCTTGAAAATCTTTCTGGACTATTTTATCTAAATATTAGTTACAAATCAAGTACACAAGTCAATACTCTTTATCTAGGCAAAACTTTCTTCAACAGAAGGAAACAATTTCTTTTTGCTATTGTTGTTTTGTATTTGTCCTGTTTTTTATTTGCTTTTTCATATGTAAGATATTGAAATATATACATTCTCTTGCAGTAGGTGCAAACGTTATCATCAATGTACCTTTTCTCACTTTCTCTGAAGGGAACTGCTAATCCAGTCAGTTCTTTAGCGAGGTGGCACATTCTAGCACGGCTCGGCTATTTGATTCTCACACTGTGCTGCATGCTATCATAACAAGGGAAATGATAAGGACCCCAAAAGACTATTTCTACCACATGGCTGATGGTCATCTTTTGATACACAGAAGCCACTTCTAAGACACTGATTATACGGTGTATTCTACACTGGCAGGAAACTTAAGTGAATGGCATGAACAGGTGCATTAATATCTTCAGATGAGTATATATATTCTAATTATGGAAAGCAATCCTGATATTATTTTAAAGACTATTAATTTTAGTAAAGGAAGATAAAGTCATAAAGGGGGTTGCCAGTTACAACAGGGCCTCTGTAACACTGCTGATGTATAAGTAGAAATGTTTAATGTAAGTTATTTATAATCAAATGATAGATACTTGCTATATCAGTTTTAAATTACTTTTTTATTATTGTTAGGAAGGGGCATTTATTCAAAACCGTAGGAAGCTACTACATTCTGTTCTTCTTTAACTCTGCTATTGCCAGGCTGAGTTTCGTAGACTCAGCCTGCTTGGGAAGGAAAGACAGCAGCCAAACGGGATGAAAACAGAGCGATGAACACAGGCACCATAGATTTTTGTCTTCATCATTTGTGACTATAAGTGGATTTGCTAAAAAAAATACATTTAGGGAGAAATTAACCTTTATTTCTACCTAGAAACTCACATAATTTGTTTGTTTGGACCAATTCTCCTTACAGTGGATCTTGTCTCATTAAATAACATAGGCACAGCATAGAGCAAAAACGCAAAGAGAGACTTTAGTGGACTCATTGACGTAGATTTATATAATGTAATACTATTCATTCTTATTAATATTGTGAAAAATGGCAGGATTTTATACACATTTAACAGAGATGTGAAAAATAACTTTACTTTTTTTGTAAGCAGTAAAAACAGTAGAAAACATCTCAATAATCTCTGCAAGGTTTCCCATCCCAGATGAATTGTGCATTTTAAAAAGACTTAAAAGTCATAAATATAAAAGAGATATTTGAGATTATTGAATCCACTTTTCTCAGTAATACTGGAATAACATGTATAAGGAGATTAAAATGGAAGAGGAGAGTATGAGTGAGAGAAAGATTGGCTCCACTGACAAAATAAAACCTCCAGAAATGAGACACTATCATCTCGATAAGCTGGTTACATCCAGTCAAAGTGGCTCTCGGAAATGCAAGCATGTTGAGGGCAAGGGGTTCCTGAGAAATGGTGCATGTCAGGCATGCTGAGCCTTCGAAGTCTTTCCAAGAGTAGACTTGGGCATTAGTGAAATAACAGCAGTGACTTCCTGGGTAAGCTTAACACATTTTTCACTAAGCACAATCAAAACTAACCTACCAATAGTAGCGCCAATTCACCACGCCCCGCTGGCCTCGGCACGTCTGTTAAAGCAGGTGTGTGCTTTGGCTTCCAAAATACTTCCCAACAAGGAAGCAAGTGTCTGCTTGCCCCTCCCGGTCCCCTCCAACCTGCACCCCTGCCATGCAAGGACCATGCGCTAGGTTACCTTTGCCTTCACCGTTGTCATCATCTGTGATCCAGTCAGTTCTTTAGCGAGGTGGCACATTCTAGCACGGCTCGGCTATTTGATTCTCACACTGTGCTGCATGCTATCATAACAAGGGAAATGATAAGGACCCCAAAAGACTATTTCTACCACATGGCTGATGGTCATCTGTTGATACACAGAAGCCACTTCTCACTGAACAATTGTGCCATCTGTGTTTGCAAACGCCGGACTGGACGCTTGTGTGCATGCTGACATTCATGTTTCCTCATCCCTGCAGTCCCTTCAGATGTGTTTTTTGTCAACTCGGTGTGGAAGGGGTATTATGAATATCTGGGGAAGAGACAGCCCGCCACTCTCACCGTGGACTGGTTCAACGCTACGAGCAGCAAAGTGAACGCCACCTTCACGGAGGCCTCGCCGCTGGAGCTGAAGCTGACAGGTGGGCCGGGCAGCTCAGCTCCCTCAGTGGTGGGCGAGAGCAGACGCGGACCATTGTCTTGCCAGAAAGGGGTGGTCTCACGTTTCTTAAGTACTTATGAAGGTCACGCTGGCTTTGCACATGTGACGTCTTCTTGGGGCTGCTCCGTAACCACGGCAGGTTGGTGGTATTTTCTCATTTTAAAGATTGCAATGCCAGGACAGAAGAGATGATGCACAGCACATATTAAGTCCAACATCTGAGAGTCACATGCCACACCCCCAAATGTCGTTCTTTTGATAGCCTTTTTCTTAACTCATGTGTTCCCTCGAGTTACTTTTTTTTGTACAATTAATACAATGGCAGCTCTGATTTATAAGGCAGACACTATTTTAAGCACTTTACATATATTTATCATTCTTACATTATTCCTATGATGTAGGCACTCTTCTTACATACCGTGTTTCCCTGAAAATAAGACAGGGTCTTATATTTATTTTTCTTCAAGAAGACACCCTAGGGTTTATTTTCAGGGGATGTGTTACTTTTTTAAGTATGATACAACAATCTACATTTATTCAAATACAGTTAAGTTGTCTTCTTCTGTAACATCATCATAACTCTCCAAACCCTGAATTCCATCCTGAATTTCTAGTGACTCTATTTCCTTTAGAACCATTGGCCCCAGTCTCTCCTGTTGAGCAATAGAGCTCTCCTGGGGCAGATGAGAAGGGCTGCTCGTCTTCTTTACCGCTCTGTGACGAAACGCATGGGTTGTGCAGCTGCGCTGGGTAGCCACGCTCATCACTAGGTCTTATCTTTGGGGTAGGGCTTCTATTGAGCAAATGCTTAGAAATCCTGCTAGGGCTTATTTTATGGGTAGGTCTTATTTTGGGGGAAATATGGTATATTGCTTTTACTGATTTTGATAGAGAGAGAGACATATCGACCCAGGAAAATCATGTAGCTTTCCTAAGGTTCCGTGGTAAGTAATTGGCAGAGGCAGGGTTTCAACTCAGCAATCAGCATCCTGAGCCCACACTCCTAACTGAGAAGCACAGTGTCACCCTCATGCCTGCATCCAGCATCATTTAAAAAAAGAACTACTTTGCTACTTAGGACTGTGCATTGTTGTCAGTAGACTGACTCCTAAAGGCTCGAGATTCTCCCTCAGTTGTCCACAAGTTGCAGCTCTGGTTCCGAGCACCAAGAAGCCCCCACATGTCACCCTGTCTCACTGATCCATAGATGGCCCAGTGACTGGCCTTTAGGGAGGGTGACAACAGGCCAAGGCACGCCCGCCCTGCGCATTACTCGTTCCTACGTCCTTGGACGTGAGGACGTCTAAGCGGTGCACGTGCCCTGGGTCACGAAGGCAGACTCACTCCCACTCCTAGGTGTTTGCAGGTGTGCGTGGACTCATGAGCTCAGGCCAGAGTGTTTCCTTCCACCGTGCACCTGTGAACGCACAAACGCTTTAGACCAGCTATTTAAGTCGTGTGTCAAATTAACTAAGAAACTTTTAAATGTGTGAGTTCTGTAACCCTACTCAAGTGAATTAGATGATACTTGTCTTGATGAAGTCAGCGGGCTTGATGAAAACAAGTCAGATCAGAAGCAGCCTTCTTGGGGGTTATGGTTTGGGTCTCTTTTTTCTACGTACCCCTTGTCCTCGGAAGTGGATTTAAAAAAATCTGGATTTTTTTTTAATTAGCAGAATTGAATACATATTGCTTTTATTCTTTCCATGGGATAAAAATGTTGAATTTAGCAAAGTGTATCATAGCCACTCAAGAGCGACAAGGATTTTATAAGAAGTGATTTTTCAGGGGAAAAAAATAAAAGGAGGTGCTGAGGCTGAAGTTTACAAATATAAATGAAATTTCTGAGTGAGTTTTCCATTATCTGCAATATGATCATCTCTGCACCGTGGGTCACACGGCTGCATCATTGGCACTGAGGTTCCTGCAAGCGAGGGCTGACCGGCTGGTCTGTTCACAGGGGTTTACAAGAAGGAGGAGGCCCACTTACTCCTGAAAGCTTTTCAGAGTAAAGGTGCAGCGGACATCTTCGTGAGCAAGTTCGAGAACGACAACTGGGGGCTGGATGGCTACGTAAGTACCCAGGCTGGAGTTCGAGAGGGGCTTTCTAATCATCCCTCGAGCGCTGGGGACCTCTGGGCACAGCATGGCTGCGTCTGCCCTGACAACTCAGCTGCCCCCTCTGGCCGCAGGGCCATTTTGCCCCTTCACGTCATAACGGGAGGAACTGGGGCTCTGAAATGAGAAACGAATGGGCCAACTGTTGTTATTACAGTTAAAACAAACCATGGAGTACTATTCAGCTCTAAGAAACAACGGTGATCTAGCACCACTCGTGTTTTCCTGGCTAGAGCTGGAACCCATTCAACTAAGTGGAGTATCCCAAGAATGGAAAAACAAGCACCACATGTACTCACCAGCAAACTGGTATTAACTGATCAGCACCTAAGTGGACACATAGGAATCACATTTATCGGGTGTTGGGCAGGAGGGGTGGGGGAGGGGGGCAGGTATTTACATACATAATGAGTGAGATGTGCACCGTCTGGGGGATGGACACGCTTGAAGCTCAGACTTGAGGGGGAAGGGGGGGTAAGGGTATTATACGCAACCTTAAAATTTGTACCCCCATAATATACTGAAATAAAATAAAGAAAAAGACCCTAAACCCAGGCTCTGTGCTATAGACCCCACATTGCACCCTAAGAGTGGCGCAACCCAGAATTCTCCAAGAGCATCGGGCAACTGCTTGGAAGTCTTGGGAAAAAGTCACTCGCAGATAGAGAGACTTAAGATGTTCCCCTGGGAATCCTTCTTTGCGAGTTAAGCGTCTGTCTGGGTTCTGATTCCCTGTCTGACGCGAGGGCGTGCAGCCTCACGTGATGTGCACAGGCCGGGCGCTGTGACAGAAAGTGAGTTTTATGTAGTGTAGGCTATTCACCAACTCACATGTCTGCCCCTCAGGGAGGCCGGTCAGCGTGAGAGTGTTGTGAGACACACTGCCATTTCAGAGGTCAAAATGAGAGAGTACGCGTTCATGTGAGTCTGCTGAGGACTTACATAAGTCTGATGGATTTCTGATTTTTAACCATCGATTTGTCAAGAAACAGAGCACAAAAAATAAACCGTTTAACCTGTATCCGCGTCTGAGACAGGGCAGTTGTATTATGATAAAAGAAGACGTTGCTATTAATTCTTGTCTGTTCTTTTTCTTTCTTTCTTTCTTTTCCTATGTCAGGTGTCATCTGGACTCGAAAGAGGAGGATTCACTTTTCAAGGGGACATTCACGGAAAAGACTTTGGAAAATTCAAGCTAGAAAGGCAAGGTAAGTCGAGCCTGGGGTGTTTGTACAGTGAGTATCCGTGTGGCCTTCACAGGACCAAGTGAGAAGGACGGGAAGGGGCGTGGTCCAGGCTCCGGAGGGAGCACAAACAAAAACATCAGGAATGGAAGAGTCTCGTGAACAGCAACACAGGCAAACACAGAGCCGGAGCCAACGCGACCAGCATGCCAGACGTGGAGTTAATGCGCTCACTGTACCAAAAGTTATTAAAATATAAGGGGAAAAAAACCAAAGATGAAACACAAAGAAGTGAACTATATTACTCTAAGGAAACTAAAAATGTTTTAAGTAAAAAAAAAAAGTGGGAACCATTAAATGCCCAACAAACCTATGAAAAGAGCTTCAAAAAAATCTACATACAGTAACAAATATAAATAATTTCTGGCTGTCAGAAGGGAAAAGTTTTAAAAAATGGTATTGGATTGATGGTCGAAGTAGACATTCAGGTGTATAATTTTGACAGATCTGTGAGCAGATATGTACAATTTTACAGTAATTTTTCATCCAACAATTCTCTCTAGAACTTTTATTCAGACAAGTGTGGAAATTGTTCCCGGCATACTCATGCGTGTCTTAGCAGGACTGTTTTTGATAGTCGAACTTTGAAACAACCTCTACAAGTTACACATCTATCATAAAGGAATTGCTGCAAAGAATAATTTTATGCAATGAATTACAATCAATAGGAAATAATTATATTCCATATATTTCATTAAAGGAATGAGGGCTATATATTAACATGCAAAACTGTTCATGGCTCATGTATGAGAAAAAAATTAGATAGACAGGTTGCTCCTCTTTGCTGCTTTATAGCTTTCTCCATTATTTAATTTTTACCTTAGTTATTAGAGAAGGAACATCTATGGAAACAGTCACTGGCTTTGAGTGTTACCTACTCTACTTGCTATTTTTGTGATCTTGGATGAATTACAACAGTCTTGAGCCCATTTCTTTAGCCAAAAGCTCAGTACAGACATTTGCAGGGTGGTTACAAGTTTAAGAGACAACAGAAGTGATTGCTTTGTACACATGGAAGCTCTTCTTACACAAAATCCCCTAAACTTGTTGAGACCCACATAGGAAAGAAAACACATGCTGTAATGAGATTAGCACCATATTACCCACACTGGTGGAACACTTTTAACCTATGAATATTATAAAGAAGAATACTACCATACACACTTTGACACCAGAGCCACCTTTCAGAGGAACATGTGTCAAATGTTGTGATGATTATCACGAATGAACTTATTTCACAAGTCTTTTATCAAGAGCCCAAGAGTTTCTAAAAGAACTATATGCCAACCTGTACATTAATATACTTAAACAGAAAAAAAACTGATCAAAAGGGGAATATTGAATCAAAAAATACTTCCACCATTCCAAACTCTGTACTATTAAATAGAAAAAGCTTTGAATTATGATGTCAGCAGTGGTGGAGACAATGTTTTTAATTGGGTTACATTGTTTTAAGATAATGCAGCCGAATAAATGCCTTAGGTCAACATTAATGATAGGTAACATTTTTCTCTTGCTCTAAGCCAAACCCTGTTGCTATTTGCCCTCCTTTCTCCCTGCAGTGCTCGCTCTAGTAATTTTGTTCAAGGAAACCCCAGTGAGCTGTACAAGATACTGAGCTGATGTCTAAGTTTACTCCTCCAATACACTTCACCTGAGCTATCACTGTGCTGTCGCACATTTTCTTTGCATTACCCCGTTTCTATAGAGTCTCACAATGTAACAGCTTGCTTTAGCAAGTTGTCTTTATTCCCATGTAATAATGAGCTTATTTTCAGGAGAAACAATTTGCTTCACAAAATACCTTGAATCCCAAGTAAGTCTCCCATTCAACTAATTAGAGAAGTCTGTGTTTAAGTAATGTTATAACAACAGCCAGTGGGGAATGACAGCTAAAATCTATTTTTACAACTAAAAATAAACAACCTCCCATTATCTCAAGTCAGCAGATAAACCAAAGAAAGTGATTTTTATTAAATGGGTACTGAACTTAACTCAAAAGACAACTGTAATGCAAAAAACTTGCATGAGAAACTCAACAACAAATTTGTTTCTCCACTAATACGGAATGACCCTCTGCACACACAGAATGAGAGAAAATATGCGAAAATCAGATATCTGATAAGCGACTTGTATCCAGAATATATAAATAACTCTTATTATGGCTCAAAAACATAAAGACACATAACCTCACTGAAAATTGTCAAAGGATTTGAATAGTTATTTTCCCAAAGTTACACGAATGTCTAACAGGCTGTGAGAAGATGTTGGACATAATTGTCATTAGGGAAATGCAAATAAACACCATGCTGGGCTATCACTTCACACCCACTAGGATAGTTGTGATTAAAAAGCCAAATAACAAGTGGTGGCAAGAATACCGAGAAATTGGGACTCTCGGACTCTGCTGGTGAAATGTAAAAGTCCGGCAGCTCATCCCGTAGCTAAACACGGAGTTACTGTGAGATCCAGCAATTCCACACCTGCATGTACAGCCAACAGAATTGAAGACATGCATTCACATGCAAACTTGCATGTGGATGCTTATCACAGCAGAATTAACGTACGGCAACCCAAGTGCAGAACAATTTAAATATCTGCCAACTGACAGGTGGATAAACAGAATGTGGCATCTCCATCTATGGGAATATTAGCATTAAAAGAAGGCACTAGTCCACGCTGTGACATGCACGGTCCTTGGAAACATCTCGCCAAGTGAGAAAAGCTGGACACAGAAGACCACATGCCACATTGTGTGACTCCCCTGGTGTCAAATGTGCAGAACAGGCAGATCTGTAGAGATGAGGAGTCAGTCGGCGATTGCCCAGGGCTGCAGGTTCGGGTGAAGGAGGAGGGACAGGATGAGGGGTGACACTACAAGGTACTAGGATGCTTGGTGTGAGGGGAACAGTGTTCTGAGCTGGATTGTGGTGATGGTTGCACCCCCCTAAGAATAAACTGAAAAAACCCTGAATTGCCCAAGCAGGCTCAGTGCATGACTTGTCTAGTACAGGCATGCACCACGTAGTGAGGGGTCTCACATGCAACGGTCTCCTAGGTGACGTGGTAGCTGTTGTGACAACATAGTGCAGCCCATCACTCACGTAAGAGCAATAGGCTACACCAATAGCACAGGTGCGTGGTGAGCTGCATCATCCAGGTTTGTGTGAGCACACCTCCTGTCATTCACTCAATGACAAGATCACCGAGCAGCACATTTCTTGTAACATACACCCCTGTTGTTAAGCGTCACATGCCTGCGTGTGCGTTTCTGTCAACATGCACTTTAGAGAAATCGATGGCCTGGCTTATCATGTGTGCAAACATGCTCACCCTCATTCTTAAGTAAATAAATGCAAATTAAATAGTAAAACAACCAAATACTGCACTTGGTTTCTCAAACCAGCAGCAGCAATTGTAGCGTGTTTCCCCGAAAATAAGACAGGGTCTTATATTTATTTTTCCTCAAGAAGACACACTAGGGCTTATTTTCAGGGGATGTGTTTTTTTTTTTTTTTTTTAAGTACGGGACAACAATCTGCATTTATTCAAATATAGTTAAGTCATCTTATTCTGGAACTCATCCTAACTCTCCACACCCCGAATTCCATCCTGACTTTCTTGCGACTCTATTTCCTTTAGAACCACTGGTCCCAATCTCTCATGTCGAGCAATAAAGCTCTCATGGGGCAGCTGAGAAGGGCTGCTCGTCTTCTTTACTGCTCAGCAACGACATGCATGGGTTGTGCAGATGCGCTGCGTAGCCACGCCCAGCACTAGGGCTTATTTTGGGGTGGGGCTTCTATTGTGCATATACTTTGAAATCCTGCTAGGGCTTATTTTATGGGTAGCTCTTATTTTCGGGAAACACGGTAGTAGTAGTAGCAGTAACAACGGTGACAATAACAATGTGAGGAGGATGGGGCAAGGGGTAGGGAGGGGAAGGGTGGCTGTCAGAGCATACAGTTGTCCACATGGTTTTGTCATGGCCGGAGGAGATGGTTGGGATGAAATCTCAGCATCCCTTTGGAGAGCAATTAGGTAAGACACAGCAACACTAAAAGGTACAATTTCTGTTAGGCAATACATCAATACCTCTTAGGATGTATTCTGTGTAATTTAAACCCCTGCTAATGTGTAAATACAGATGAAGGATCTCATGGCAACGTTAGAGAAAAAGACTGGAAATGTCCTACATTTCCCTGCACAGTGGGCTGGCCAGGTGAAGGCTCTGTACCCAATCACTGCCTTAAAAATCAAGTCTGACTCATTGTATGAAACATGAATGGAAGAACTTCACACATATGTGGTTAGGGTTAAAATCTGCATACCAAAAAAGTAAATGGTGTGCCCAATGTTTAGAAAAATAAGAAGGAAACAATCATTTTTTTGGAAAAAGACACACACACACACACACATACACTCTGCTCTAGTCACCGTGAAGGTGAGCGTATAGGGCACGGAGTGGATTTTCATTTTCCTTTGCATTATTTGTTTTCATAGCCTTTTATGCCATTTTAATTACTACCATTCGCATGTATTACCCTTCAAATTATTAAAGCGAGGGCAAACAACTGAAAATATCAAGGCATTCCAGGCAGCACAATAATAATGCCAGAGTAAGTTTGTTGTACGTTTCACAAAGCCCTTCGTTTGTGTTGCTCTATGTCATGATGCGACATCTCTTGTGACATGCACATTTTCCAGAACTTTATGGACTGGGATTTTGATATCTATTATGGACAAAGGTATATAGTTCTATTTGCAGATAACTGAAAATAGTGGCTAACTGAAATAAATACAAATTTATTAGAATGAGGCAAAGAGACTCACAGAATCATGGAAACCTGAAGAATGAAGTGTGGCCACTTCCTGGAAATGGGAAGATATTTGGGTGCTGAAATACTACAAAGACAAAGCTGTTTCTTTTTTCTTTTTCATCTTATTTTTCATTTTACTCAGAGGGACACTTTCTATCCCCAAGGCTGTAGCTACAGCTCTGGCATGAATTCTAAACCGTCCCAACAAGCCTTGGGTCATTCTCTCCAAATCCAGTGCCTGGGGTGGGAACATCCAATCGGCTTAGCTCACATGCCCGTCACCCGAGTGCTCAAACTTAGTGACAACAGTTGTCTGGCATTTTCCCTCTGCAGGATGATGTGGAAAGATCTCAAAAAGATACAGTCAAGTTACAAAAAGCCAACATCCATCACTAAATACTTTCATATTAGACCTTAAGACAATAGACAGTCACCATCTTGCATCTATTGGAAGCAAATGGCAAATAATATCCTTTGAAAGTTTTTATCTGAACATTTAAAATTTTGATAGAAGCAGTGATTTAAAGATTTTTAACATTCAATTTTGTTTTTTGGTTTTTTGGGGTTTTTTTACATTTATGGTTTGTTAAAAAGTAAGTGAAACAAGACTTCTCTTTCGATTTGACATTCCATAAATTCTGAAAGTATACTTCTAAAAACAAGATCGGCTTCTTCTCAGCAATTCTGCTGTATTTGGAAGACTTTAGTCAAAATTCACTGCACACTTGCATTGGGGACTCCATGCAGTTAGGCCAAATACAGGTCAAAATCGTAATTTTATGAGTAAACTCCAGAACCTATTTTCTTCTTTGGCAAAAGTTGCTTAATAAAGGTTCGCTGATTTCACTTTTCCATGTCTGCCTCTCAATGTCAAGCAAAGATGTGAGAACCCAATGATTACATCACCTTCCTGACGTTTGCTGTGTTTACTTCTGCCTTCCTTCCTAGTGGAAAAAGATCACATTTCGTCATTCTTTTTTATCCTCATAGAAACTTGTGTTTTAACACTGAGCCGCATGGTTCTTGCGAGTCTTTCTGAATGCAGTGACGGATTTCAGGATCTACCCTAAAATAAAAGCAGGTTATACCAGCACATAAACCTGTGACTACCGCAATGCTGTTTATGTGAAGAACTGAGATATTTACGTAATTTTGATGGCTGATATTTTGCTGAGTCTGGCCCCAGGACGGGAGGGAAAACAGCAAATAGCCCTGATCTTTGTAGACAAAAATGTACAAACGATTTCGGTCCATTTTTTATCACAATGCAAATATCTATAACTAAAGCTAAAATTCAGAACGTATGGAGACCCTTTGCCTTTCTTACATTTCAAATGTGAGACTCCTTCATGGTACCATTGCGTGTTACTAGGCAATAGTTATTTTGTATCTCAGTCATAAAATCTTTAGAAGAGAGTGTCAGTTGGTTTCCCTGTGGAATCGCAACTCCTGCTTCTTGCATAGGTTTTATCCATTTGTAAAATCTATCATCCATATGTTTTTGCCATATGCCTAGTCCAACCACCACAAATTAAATATTCCCTTTACCTTCCAGATCCCTTAAACTCGGATCAAGACTCTTCCAGTCCTTACCAGGGCACCAGCAGCGGCTCCGTGGCAGCGGCCATCCTGGTTCCGTTCTTTGCTCTCATTCTGTCAGGGTTTGCATTTTACCTCTACAAACACAGGTACTGGGAAAATGGCGTCAGAAAGCCATGTGCGTGTGAAGTGTCAGTTTGAGTAACCTGGGTGGACTCGCGCTCCCGTGCACGTATGTTTTGTATTGCTGTGCGCTGTCCTCCCTCACATGAAGAATACGTACCTGTCAAGGTTTCTGTTCCTGCATTTTTGAGGGTATTTTTTGTTTTGCTTTTTGTCCTACTGTTTCAGCAGGACAGGTCTGAGTGATAAGAGAGTAAATGATTTGCTAAGACATAGCACGCTGTCTCCTAGAGGAAGCAAAGCAGTCAGTCTGTGTCCACTTTAACACTCCGTAGCAGAGCTCTGAGGTTTTTTGTTTTTTGTTTTTTTTTCAGACAGAGTCTCACTCTGTTGCCCCGGCTAGAGTGCCGTGGTGTCAGCCTTGCTCACAGCAACCTCAAACTGCTGGGCTGGCTGAAGTGATCCTTCTGCCTCAGCCTCCCAGGTAGCTGGGACCACAGGCATGCGCCACCATGCCTGGCTCTTTTTTCTATATATTTTTCATTGGCCAATTAATTTCTTTCTATTTTTAGTAGAGACGGGGTTTCACTCTTGCTCAGGCTGGTTTCGAACTCTTGACCTTGAGTGATCCTCCTGCCTTGGCCTCCCAGAGTGCTAGGATGACAGGCGTGAGCCACTGCGCCCAGCCCAAGATGGGTTTTCAACATCCCAGCAGAAGGATGAACAAAATGTTCTCCATGGCTGCTTCCAACACCACGAATTTGTGATCAATACGTTTTTATCGATTCCTTCCTTCCATGAATAAAAATTTAGCGCTCCCTCTCTGTATATTAAGAATTATAAGATGTTCCAATCCTGAAAAAGTATTCTGAGTATCTATTCATTTGCAACACCATGCTAAAAGGAACATGTCAAAACTCCAGGAAAAGCCACTTTAATGAAATAGAACCTTTCATAGGGGTTTATGTGAATGCCAAAAAGAAATGATTTTGGAAGAATTATAAAGGTCTCATACATTTTGTCTCTGTATGGATAATATATTATCTGGAGGAATTTGACTATGCCAAAGTACTCTAAAATATTATTTGAAATAGTAGCATTATCTGCAAGTAACAAGAAAATAAATTACAATCCCCTAAAGTAAGGTTAAAGTATGTTAAATGAGCCAAATGTTTATTTACTGAATCCTGGTTACAGTTTTTTAAAAAATGTGAGAAAGTTATATTTTACAATAATTCATGGAATATCTTCTTTAAATATGTGCATTCTTATGCTTGTTTTTGAAATACAAAATAGCAAGAATGTTGCTTCAAAGTTATATAGTTTTAGCTGCTTGGGTACATGTCTTCACTTTCCAGTGGTTGGTAATGTTCTTACTTAAAAATATAACCCAATGAAAGAGATTTCAGATAGTATTTACAAAACTGCAGATTGACATATCTGTATTTTTTTTTTAATTTGGAAAACAAAATTCTATGCACACAGGCATTGTGAGCCTGCTCAAGGCTAGTTTAAAATTTAGTAAATGTGGAAATGTTTGCATCACCTTATCTAAGAAAATGCCACAATTAGAGATGCTTACCTTCTTAAAGGGATATAAACTGAAAATATATCTTCTTTCACAGCTTCCTCTAGGTAACATAATACCTTATGGAGACGACATGTACTATCATAATTCCCACAAATTCATGTGTGCGGCCTTGGCACCCACGTTAACCCCGAGGAAAGGGTCTAGTCCATTCAAGCTGTTTTCCCTCAACTTTTGACATTTTCCTGGTCAGTAGGGGAGACTTCAGACAGTACTGTCTTGGCCACTGTACCCGGAATAGGACAGTGTCCCTGTGTGAGAGAGCTGTTCCTCTTTGCGCCCCTCCAAAGACGCAGCCTTCACGGGGGTCTCAGATTCTCTTGTCCTTCGCAAACATACTCCCACGAAATTGTGTGTGTTTACACAGACATTGAATATGACTTCTACCTATATCTGGCACGGGAGCAGGTGTATTCAATACGCCCCAGCTTCAGTCTCTGGACCTTAGAAACCTCCATATTATCATTGTTCAGAAATTGTCATAGCTGCCTCGGTGAAGGCAATGCTGTGGGCATAGATCTCAGACTACAAATCAGATGCAGGTGAGATTTCACTTGTTTTTATGCAGATGTGAAACCACCTCTGGGCTGGATTGGGGATTCGATGTTGTTGTGATTGGGTTCCTTTCCTTCCCAGCTCTTTGCCAAATCCCAGCGGTGTCTGGAACATGAAGGATACTCTCTCGTCTCCTGGCGCCCAAGAGGGTAGCCGTGAGGCTGCAGTGATGTCTACATCTGTAGTAGGGTCTTTCAGTTTTCCACTTTTGTCCCATGTGAGGAGTGTCAGAATTTTTGCAGAAGCAGGAACCAGGGCTGGTTGCCAGGCACTGTATCAGGCCACCCTCTCCCAGGTTCCAGCCCCTCACCAAGGACGTGCCCAGCCCCGAGCATTCCCCACACTGGCTTCTCAGCCTCTACCGAGACACGCATTTCCTAATGGATTGGCTTTGTATCTCTCCAGATAAAACCTAGTTTCTGCTAATTTTTTTTTTTTTTTTGAGACAGAGTCTCACTCTTTTGCCCAGGCTAGAGTGCCGTGGCATCAGCCTCGCTCACAGCAACCTCAAGCTCCTGGGCTCAAGTGATCCTCCTGCCTCAGCCTCCCGAGTAGCTGGAACTACAGGCATGCGCCACCATGCCCGGCTAATTTTTTCTATGTATTTTAGTTGGCCCATTAATTTTCTTTCTATTTTTAGTAGAGATGGGGTCTCACTCTTGCTCAAGCTGGTTTTGAACTCCTGACCTTGAGCGATCCTCCCTCCTCGGCCTCCCAGAGTGCTAGGATGACAGGCGTGACCACCGCGCCCGGCCTTCTGCTCATTTTTGAGTCTCTTTCTAGCTGGTGAGCTGGAAGACGTGTTGCCGGACAGAGCTCGAGGTCCTGACCCGGCCCTCCTCATGGTTGGGTCCAGCAGGCTCCCCTCCCCGGGGTCGGCTCTGTCGGATCTGGCTGGTCCTGCCTGTCCCAAGCAATGAGGGCACAGGGACGGCTTGTGATCCCGGTGACTGGAAGAACATGTCGGCCAGGTCTCAGCACCATTAACGAGTGACCAGATTCGTTTGCTAACTTTTGCTGCTGGAGCCCTTTCCAAGTTCAATGCTGCAGACCTCTGTGATTGCAAAGACCGTCACAAACTGAAGTCCCGCTGGTTTCTGAGGCCAGGCACACGCCCACTTCTCTTTCTCTTAATGAATATGTAACTTCAGAAAACCTGCCAGAGAACTGAAATGTAAGGGTCAACCTGCCCTGACCCTTACATTTCAGTAAGCAATGAAAGCAGACGTTCACTTACATCCGGTATCAAATTATGTTATTTAAGTTCTGTCGTTGCCACCTCGCATATTTTCCTTATGTGATTTCTTCTGGGAAAAGGGAAAATATAAAAGGAGCCAGACCAGATATGTGTAGGTCTTTTACATCTAAAAATCCCTCTACCACTCTAATCATGGAATGTACGTAGGGGTTTTCTTTCAACCACAAAACGTTAATGACGGTTTAATCATGAGTATAGTTTCTTTCCTGGAACAGATTCATTTTTATCTCACCAGAGAGAAAAAATGAAAACTAACATTTAGTGAATGATGGAAATGAACAGCGAACTATGTAAGCCTGTAATTGCAATTTAGGTCAGTCTCAGCGGCCCTAAAGGGTAGACATCACTATTCACATCCTTATTGTGTAGAGTAGGGGACAGTTCAGTGTCCCAAGGGCCATGAGAGTTGTGAGCCATAGGTGCGTGCCCAGCCACAATCTGCCCGACGCCAGCTTCGAGAGACCTTCCCAGTTTCCCAGGAGCATCTCTGGGAAGCATAGATTATTCTTTGGCTTGGAAATTGCTTCAAAGCCTCTTTATAACCCTGACCACCAATTAAAAAAAAAAAAAAAAAAGAGCTCCAAGGAGCATCAGACGTGCAGACCGTCTTACCCGGCCGCCTCTGCTCGGGGGTCCCCTCTCACCCCGGCCTCGCTGCTGTGCCTGTGTCTTATTGAAGCCGGGACTCTCACGGTCGGTCTCCTCTTTTCCTTGCAGAACAAGACCAAAAGTTCAATACAACGGCTACGCCGGGCACGAAAACAGCAACGGACAGGCCTCCTTCGAAAACCCCATGTACGACACAAACTTGAAACCCACAGAAGCCAAGGCAGTGAGGTTCGACACGACTCTGAACACGGTGTGCACGGTGGTATAGCCCCGGCGCCCGGCAGGACGGGTTCACAGCCATACCTCGGAGGGCCAGCCGCGACTCCTTTGGTGCCACAGACCGCTCTCCCCTTCCACGGCGCCCGGCGGCCGCCTCCGCGCGGCGGGAACTTCTGGGACGCGCCGGAGTCTCCTGAGGGCCGACCCACGCACACGCGCGTCTTCACCCCACGAGTGGGTCCCCCGAACGCCCGCTGCGCCTGCTGCTTGGAGTCCAGACACGCTCGAGGGAGACAGCCGGCGGCCGCGGCGGGCGACGCGCTCGCCAACGCCTGGGACGCGGGGTTCGCTGTCGCGGGACGCCTCTCCCCGCAGATCTTGCGGCGCGGACACACCCTTCGGGTGTGGCGACGTCGGCAGCCACGGTGATGTCTGTGTGTGTGTGCGGTCTGTTTTTTTTTTTTTTTTTTTGCCTTTTTTTAATGAACCCCATGAACATGAGCACTCTGGAAACAATAAATAAATGGAAAGCGTTCTGGAAGAAGACACCCTCCCGGTAGACACACGCACACGAGCAGGCGTGTCACCCCGTCCCTCCGGTGCCTGGCGAGCTGCGAGGACCTCGGGCTCGGGGTGCTGTCCGCCCCAGGACGTCGCGGATTTCCCGGGCGGCTGTCCTAGTGCGGAATCTTCCAGGCACAGCTTCGTTCACCGGCGTGTTTCGGAAGCCCGAGTCGGGCTCTGAGCGTGCAGTCTCACAGGGCGCGCCCACCCTCGGCCCGGCGTCGGGGGAGCTCCACAGAGCGCCCCAGAGGCGAGCAGGAAGCAGTGCGGCAGGGGGCTGTTCTGCTGCTGCTGCTAGCTGGATTCATGGGAGAGGTCCAATGAGAGGGAAAGGCCCTTTTTAATTCTCATGTGTTCTTCCGTTCGTGCGACCATCCTCCAGCTGCTGTCTGCATTACACTACTGATGAGCAGGGGTCGCACACATGTCTATTTGCCGTGTAAAAAATGTGAATAGTAATTTATTTTAGATAGCTCACGGACCTGCGGGTTTTAGCTCACAACGAAGTCTTCCCTTTTGCATTGTTGTTTTTTTGTTTTTGTTTTCTATTCTTTTACCACACCACCACGCTCTGATTTGCATTGAAAGACAGGGCACCGCAGTGGCACGCTGAGCTCAGCGAGAACTGAGAGTTAACACATGTGTAGCCTTATCACACATGTCCTGATTAAGTGAACTCAGGACTGTTGAGGATCAGAATACCGAGCGTTCCTGCGGAGGTAAGGGAAGATGAGACACGCTGTCCCCTCACCACGAGGTATCGCATCTGTGAGCTGGCCTTTCGTTCCATGCTTTGTGATTCCAGGCGGCGGGAAGGGAGCGTCCATGATTTTTCAAGTTCAAAGTTCACTGGAGGTCAGTGACGGAGTCACGGGATAAGTTAAAACAGGTCAGAACCCCCAACGCGGACAAGATCCAAGCACGGGGGTAGAAGCTATGACCATGAGAATGTCCATGTAACAAACTCAAAGTGAAGAAGATCATGTTTATTTTTTATTTATACTTGTTTGATAAAAATATTTTTTGAAAAGATAACGCTTATTTTATTATTTCATGTGTAAGTACCTACCTGTTCCCTACGTGGAGAAGCTCCCCGCCCCCGCCTGGCCTTCCGGACTGTGGCGCGGGGCGAAGCGCGGGGTGCTCACACCGCCGCCCTTCGCTTGGCTGTCGCCGTGGACCAGTCGCGCCGCTTTAGGACGCGTGCGTCTGTCTCCTGGACGTGGAGTGCGGGGCCTCGCGGGTGCGGAGGACGAAGGAGAGCCTGTCGGGAGAACAGGGCGTGCTCTCCAGAGCCGTGCGTTTTGGGGGGACCTTTCCGGAGCTGTCTCCCGGCTCCGCTGTTGCCTTCCCGCCGGAGGCGTGCGGCGCGGGGCGCGCTGGCCCTCGAGGGCCCCCTGTCCTGTGGGCTCCCAGGCGGTGGAGCCCACGGCAGCCGCTGGGCCCTCCCCGCGTCTCCCCGGCCAGGCGGACAGACGGCACCCTGGCAGATTCGCTTTGCGCGGGAGCAGAGGCGGCGGGAGGGCGCCCCTCGCACGGCGGGTCTAGCCGGGCAGGGAGCGCGAGGCCGCGCGTGCGAGGGAGGCCGGGCTCCGCACAGCGCAGGCGCAATACGCACGTACACGTGTATATATTGTACATAGCTCAGTGTGAGTCATTCAGACTAGGTGCGAAACGCCGACTTCAGAGTCCGAACCCACGTCTCTGTGCCCACCCCGCGGACCGCTCTGCGGGTCAGACCACTCGCGAAACCCAGAACCCCGCAGGGCCTGCGCGCACGCGAGCACCACACACCAGATTAGACGAGACTTTCCTTCTCTGTGCAAAGCGCAGCAGTCCTGCGGTGCCGGTTTGGGGCGCGTCACTTGAGAAGGAAGAGAATTCAGTGACGCTCCCTCCTGGGAATTCCCCGGTTCCGGCGGGCGTGCGCGGGGCGCGGGGCGCGGGGCCTCCCGGCGGGCGGGCGCGGGGCGCGGGCGGGCCGTCGCTCCGGGACTCTCCCTCCCGCGGGCCGGCGGGCTGGGCGCGGCCGGGCTCCGAGCTGCTCAGAACTGCTGCTTGCTGCGCACACATCTTTGCCTTTCTCCAGGCTAGCTGCAATAATTTTTTTCTTCTGTAAAATATTTTGTAAACAACGACAACAGAAAAAAAAGCTCTTATACAAAAGGGGGAAAAAACAAAACAAAGCAAAACAAAAGAACGCTGGCATCGCGATCAGGAGAACCTGCCGCCGCGACCCCTCCCGCCACCGTCCCTATTCTCGCTGCTGTCTGTCACCAAGTAGGTGCAAAAGAACTTTTTTTGTACAGAGATATATTTTTTATGGCGAATTTGTAAAATTATTAAATACGCTGTAATTTTTTGATTAATGTAGGTACCTTGTTAAAAAAGAAAAAGGAATAAATAAATGTTTTTACGATACAGAACTGTAATTTTCCCGATCATGTAAAAAAAAAAACACAAAAAAAGTACCCTCTCTTCTAGCCGAATTTTCAGTTCCGATCCTCCCATGACATCTGTATTAATAATATTCAAGTGGCCTGTTAAAAAATGAACAGTATCTTTTTTGTCAAAAAAAAGAAAAAAATTATAAAGAGAGTGTAATATAGCCTGTGCAAATGCCACCGATCTTTAAAGCAAATCAGAGTTCTAATGAATTAAATATTTAATTTTAGATTTCTACCTCTCGGTGTGAGTTTATTTATAGCTGTCGTGCGCGGGCGGGCGGCGGAGGGCGGGCCCGACCTCCGAGGCCGCCGGACCCCAGCGCCCGGGACCTCCCGAGGCCGCCGCGACCCCAGCGCCCGGGACCTCCCGAGGCCGCCGGACCCCAGCGCCCGGGACCTCCCGAGGCCGCCGGACCCCAGCGCCCGGGACCTCCCGAGGCCGCCGGACCCCAGCGCCCGGGACCTCCCGAGGCCGCCGGACCCCAGCGCCGGAGCCTCGGCCTCGGCGTGCGCGAAGCCCGTGGGAGCTCTCGGGCCTCCCACACCCAAACCAGATCTATGTCCTTATGATCTCCTCTTCTCAGTTGGGAGATCTTTCTTGTGGGCCTTCACAGCCCTGGAAAACGGCACGCTGCAGGGGAATCACAGACACGGAACGGAGCCTCCAAGTCCCGTCTGGGGGGGCCCGGGAAAGGCGTCTCTGCGGTGGCCGGCCTGCAGCCCTCCGCGGTGTGGCTGGGAGGAACTCCGGGTTTGTGAGTCCTCGGCGCGCCATCAGGGCGGGTGCCTTGCAGTTAAACAGAATGATACTCTAGTTTTCCTGAGAGTCAAGTTATTACAAAATGAAAAAAACCCCAAAAAACCCAATAACAAAAAAATATCTCTGTTGTGGCTTCAAAGTAACAGTTTTGACGTCCAATTTACAGTTTGGGTCTATTCAATCCGGCAGTCATGACTCGCTGTCATTCACCAAGGACCTGCCGATCTCCAGGTGACCTGCAGACGTTACAAATAATCCTGTAATCCAGCTAAGTAGGTTTGACCATTTTCACATTTTAGATGAAGACAGCAGAAATTCAAGAAAATTAGTTAATGTACCCAAGGACACACAGATATACAGACCCAGGTATTCGAGGTCAGGTTTCTCTTGTTCTAACATTCTTCTTTTTCATGAAAAAAAAAAAAATCACATTATTAAATTTACAGTGTTCTCTTTTTTTTTTTTGCAATCTAATTTTTTTCTGAATTTTTCTGTCATTCTGCCTGTAATTTATTTTTACTTCATTTGGTAATTAATTACCACCTGTTAAGAATTCTAAGGGAAACAAATACTCTATATTATTCATTTTACCATCTCATGGATTTCCTACACACACACAAAAATGTGTCCTCGGGAGTTATTTAGCGCATGAAATTGGAACCTGGGACCTCCACAGTTGCCCTGTGGGTCTTTGTCTATACACACTGAAATCTCGGGAGAGCCCTGCTTGTAACTTACCTTTCCACCGACACATCCTGGAACTTGACTGGGGATTAAACTTTCATCCCCCAAACCTGCCTCATAGGCCTGGGATTCTTAGCACGTGTCAGAGCGTGACCAAGCTTGAACAGTATTTATCTGGATCAACTACTAGGTAAGACTATTTATTTAGTACTCCTAAAATCTCTGTGATGTTAATTTACAGTTACATGGTAGGATATAATTTAAGATATTGGAAAAATACAAGTGACAACCAAAAGATTTTTCCCATAGTTTAATGACTCCATTAATATATGGAACATTATTAGGCAATCTTGTGTGGTGATAGTTTCCATTTGCCTCTCATATCCATTCTTTCCTTCTTTGTTAGCTACCTAGAATAAATATCACAGTAGAGCTGAGTTTGGCTGTCAAACTAAGCTGTGAACAGCTTACAGTACACTGTAAGCAGGTTTCTTAAACAGCGGAAAACTACCCTTCAGCTCTTCATTTTTCCTCCGGGCTAGAATATGGATGTGATTGTGAATGCTGGAGCATGAGCAGCCACAATGGGCCATGAGGTGGATGGTAGAACAACAAGCTGGAAGAAATAGTCTGGCTCCTGAGGATCATGAAGTCACCAGACCAGCCCTGGACTGCCAACCTCTGGACTTCATTTACATGAGTGAGTAACAAACTTCTAGTTTGCTTTAACTGCTGTTCTTTCAAGTCCATCAGAAACAAAACCACCTCACATTGACTGTATTAGCTAGAGATATGCTTAGTCCTCCAATATGGTGGGCAGTAACCACATGTAGTCATTAAATATGCACATAAAATATGGCCACCTTGTACTCAGAGATGCTATAAGTACAATAAGCATATTGACTCAGAAGACTCAATATGCAAAACAGAGTATAAAATATTAATGGTTTTAAATGCATTGCATATTGAAATAATAATATTTGCATACATTGAATTAAATGAAATGTTTTTTAAAAGTAACTTTACTCCTGCTTTTCAATTACTTTTAAAACGTGGCTACTAGGAAAATCATGATTGCGCACTTGCCGCGCATTTGTGGCTCACGTTGCATTTTCTATCGGCCGGTGCTGAGCTATGTCCTTGCGCTCCCTGAGCAGTTGGTTTCCTGGGCTGCTCATAACACTGTGGACATCGTTCTTCTCCTCAAACACCTTCTCTGTGAGGCACTTCTTGACACACCCAAGTGGAATTGACCACTTACAAAGTTGTGTCGTAGTTGAATTGAATATTTACCTGTGTCATAGCCCTTAGAAAAGTCAACAAATACTTGCATTATAGGAACTTACTGCCTCCCCTGCCAAAATTTATTTGTGAGGGTTGGGGCCACTTCTTACTCACTCCTGGATTTCTAACACTTGGGAGCAGACCAGGTGTGCAGGAAATTCGCAGTGGAGTGAATAAATATACGGGTGAGAATTTGGGGAAACACCTACAGGATACATGGGAATGGGCCAGAAGGGATATATTTATAGAGTGATGTCTGTCCTAGTCAACTCGGGCTGCCATAACACGACACCATCCACGGGGCGACTTAGACAACAGAAATGCATTTTCCCACCGTGCTGGAGCTTGGGCTCTGAGACCAGGTGCCAGCGCGGTGGCTCCCGGCGAGGGCGCCCCTCTCGGCTCGTGGACGGCTGCTTCCCCCTCCCCCGTGCGCCGGTGTGGCCGGGAGACAGAGGTCGAGCTCCCAGGTGTCCGACGGCCCCGAACCCAGGATGGGGGCCCCACCCTCCTGGCTCTTCTAACCTCAAGTACCCCACCCTCGCAGCCCCACCTCCGAGCGCCAGTTTGATTTTGACGGGCAGCTGGTGGCAGCCGCGCGGGACGCGCCCGTGAGTGCTGACTGCCGCGGGAGGCGCCTCCCCGCCCCTCCGTCCCGCTCGCCCGCGTGGCCTGGGGGAGGCGCCCGCCGCGCAGGGGCCGTCCCAGGGAGGAGCCGCTAACCCACGGCATCGCTTCGTCGGAACTTTCTCGTTGGATTTTGTGAGTCTGCGTTTGCTCCGATGTCCGCGCCTCCCTCCGAGGCGAACGCCCCGGCCAGCCCCGGCCCAGGGCAAGGCGATCTCGCTGGACGCAGCGCTAGAAATGGTGACGCGTTTGGAGAAAAGCCAGGCACCGTCCGTCACGGAGGGCATCAGGCGTTGGCCGCTCGACTGTCGGGCGATTATAAAGGACGAAGTGAGAGAACGGAGCGTGCGCAAGGCGGCCGCCCGTGGCAGCGTCAGTCACCGCTAAGCCGCAGAGTGGATTAATTGTTGAAACGGAAAGGTTATTATTGATTTGGTTAGAAGGTCAAAGTAAATGCAGCATTCCTGCTAGCCTCGCGTTGTCGCAACATCAGGTGAGTGTTGCTGACCTTTAATATTCTTTTTTGAAATTTCTCCTATCTAACCTTTTTTTATTTCAGCATAGTATGGGGGTACAAATGTTAAGGTTACGCATATTGCCCTTCCCCCCCTCCAGTCACAGCTTCAAGCGTGTCCATCCCCCAGTTGGTGCGCATCGGTCTCATTACGTATGTAAACGCCCCCTCCCCCCTGCCCGACACCTGATAGTGTAGTTCCTACGTGTCCACTGAGGTGCCGATCAGTTAATACCGGTTTGCTGGTGAGTACATGTGGTGCTTGTTTTCCATCCTTGGGATACTTCACTTAGTAGAATGGGCTCCAGCTCTAGCCAGGATAATACGAGAGGTGCTATATCACCGTTGTTTCTTACATATACCACATTTTATTAACCACTTCGGGACCACGCTCACCGGCTGCGACACCTCGCCCACAGTGGCACTCACAGTCCACATGATACTTTGTGCTGTGCACTGACGGCAAATCCATTCTGCTCCTGTGTGACGAGGAAGGCTTGAAAGCACTGAAAGCTTGTTTGACTTTACAGGCAGCTTTGCTTGTCATGTAAATCAGAATAGGTAACACACATATATGTTTTCATGAAGCTATTTTTAAATGTTCAAAATTTCATTTTGATAAATGAAAAATTAGAAAAGTCATATCACGGCTGTCGGCTAAAGTCACCGCTTGTACCAAAGTGGTTAAGGAATTTCAGGGCATGGTCAATTCTATTCAAGACTAGAGGAGACAAACTTCTGGGACATTCTGAATGGATGGAATGATTCCTCTTCGTTGGAGGGAATATCTGCAGTTACCGTGTCATGAGATCATTGCAAGTTGGACACAGAGAACCCAGGAAAAGTCCCCGGAAGGGTCTCACGTCCCTGTGCGTGTGCGAGTGAACTTGAGTGGTTGCAGTCGGGCAGAGTAAGGAGTTTGAGTCAACAGATCGTGTAGCGCACGACCCTGACAAACGGAACTGCCGGGCCCAAGCTAGCAGAGCTTCCCTCGCAGAAATACACCGTGAATGTAACACAGTCCTGGGTTTTGAGGGGAGAGACTTTCCTCAGCAGTACAATGGCAGAGCTGGTAGAATCTGTCATATCGGTTTCTCCTTTAGAACTCCAGGTTACTAATGGGATCAACCGTGAACCCCGCAAAGCAAAATGGGCTCGAGCTTGCTTTGCAGCTGCACCTCACATCGAGCATCTACGTCGTGCTGTCATTGATCGGGCACAACTGATCTTCCCTGCAGAACTGGCAGTTTCCTTTCATTTCCCTCCTACGAAAGCATTTAAACCCCTCACCGTATTATATAATGCTTGAGGAGTGATTTAAGTGGATGCTCGAGATCGAGCTTGAGTGTCGAATGGAATATCACACAACAGTAACAGACCTGTGCCACAGCGACAATTTGGAAGCCGTCTCACCTGACGTCCTCTCCTTTCCTGTGGGTTTTGGGACTGTTCGCTTTTCTGTAAAGACACAGGAAAACGTGCATGAGCCCTTCTTAGGGGCTCAGCTTTCTAGGCGTGCAGTTGTCTCCAACAACAAGGTCAGGCAAAGAGGCACTTGGTTAAGTTTGGTTATTGGGGTGAGCATAACTCATATGTACTGTGTTTCCTCCAAAATAAGACCTACCTATAAAATAAGCCCTAGCAGGATTTCTAAGCCCTACCCTGAAAATAAGACGTAGTGATGGGCGTGGCTACGCAGTGCATCTGCACAACCCATGCGTTTTGTCCCAGAGCGGGAAAGAAGACGAGCAGCCCTTCTCGTCTGCTCCATGAGAGCTCTATTGCTTCACACGAGAGATCGGGGTCGATGGTTCTAAAGGAAATAAAGTCGTAAGAAATTCAGGATGGAATTCGGGGTTTGGAGAGTTAGGATCATGTTCCAGAAGAAGATGACTTCACTCTATTTGAATAAATGTAGATTGTTGTACTGTACTTAAAAAAATAACAGATCCCCTGAAAATAAGCCTTAGGATGTCTTCTTGAGGAAAATAAACATAAGACCCTGTCTTATTTTCGGGGAAACATGATACTTATGCCGGGTGGATACATTCTGGGGATTTCATGGACGGTTCGTAACAGTGTGTCATATACTTGATATTTCTGTGTCCTGCTTCCAAATACCTCCACAGAATTTATGGCTCTCCCTTAGATATAGATGAAGTTTGGCAATGGGATCTGACAGTCAAAGGACCAATTTTACCACCTCCTAATAAATCTGCAAGGATGTGTCTAGGAAAAAGGTGTATTCATCGCTTATCACCATCTGCTCTGAAACCTGGAGACGTAATTAGAGGAAAATTCGAGACGATGGAAAAGTCTCATTCCACATCATGCTACGAGATTTGCTGATTTGGGATGCTTTTATCACAAGAAAGGGCAACCCTGTGAGATGATAGATACCTTAATTTTCTTGACTATACCGTGTTTCCCCGAAAATAAGACAGGCCCTATACTTATTTTTCCTCAAGAAGACACCTTGGGCTTATTTTCAAGGATGTGTTATTTTCCCCTCAAAGCCTCAGCTTGCAGCACGCACAGGATGGCCGGGACCTGACAGGGGGAGCCGACCTTGTTGGTGGGGGTGCCCGCACCTTTCCTGTCACCTCTGGGATAGTAGCTGTCACGATGGGGCAGATGAGAAGGGCTGCTCGTCTTCTTTCCCGCTCGGCGACAACATGCACGGGTTGTGCAGATGTGCTGCGTAGCCACGACCTTATTTTCGGGGTAGGGCTCCTATTGCACAAATGCTTAGAAATCCTGCTAGGGCTTATTTATGGGTAGGTCTTATTTTCGCGGAAACATTGTAGTAACCATTTTGTTATGTCTATATCAAAACAACCTGCTGTACACCTTGAATATGTAACAATTAATCTAAAATATGTTTTCCATGGTAGGGTGTAAGCTTTAAGTTCAGAAGGCAGATAACTTCCACTCGGGCTTCAAAGGCAGCAGTAGTTAAGTGAGAGAAACAGAAGCGTGTTCAGTCATTATGCCTCACGGTGGATCTTTACTGATGCGGCCTCCCTAGTTCTTTCCTCCCTTTCTTTACAGGAAGCTCCTCAGTGTGTGTGGCGAGCCCTTATCCTGAAATCCAAATGCACCCCCAGCAGTATCTGACCCAGGCCACGGTTGTCACAGGGTCCCCATCTTCTTGGCCACAGCCATTACCCTACAGATGGCCTGGTGACCAAATTTAATGCAAAGTGAATTCTAAACCTTTTGTTTACATTTTGATGACAAGAGTGTTCTCTGTCTTCTGCACAGGCAGTGGAAGGGTACACCCAGGGGACATCTGTCTGCAGTCAGCCCGTCACCAGCGCAGGAGGAAGCAGGTAAGGACGGGCAGCGCAAGGGAGGGGGCTGGCAGTGTCCACAGCTGGAGCTCTGGGTCCGACCATGCCTGCCCGCGGGACAGCACAGCCCTGCGTGGCTGACTCTGCGTGGGTGGGTATTTACCATGACTTGAACTCAGCAGTCTTCATTGACACACGCAGTAGATAATTTGCAATAATTTCCCTGTCTTGTTTAATCATAATGTAGAGCTTTATCGTCACTGTGCAAGTTTTCTAATTATTATTTTTTTTTTTTTGAGACAGAGTCTCATTCTATCACCCGGGCTAGAGTGCCGTGGTGTCAGCCTCACTCACAGCAGCCTCAAACTCCTGGACTCAAGCAATCCTCCTGCCTCAGCCTCCTGAGTAGCTGGGACTACAGACATGCACCACCATGCCCGGCTAATTTTTTCTATATATATTTTTAGTTGTCCAGCTAATTTCTTTCTATTTTTTTTTTTTTTTAGTAGAGACGGGGGTCTCACTTCTGCTCAGGCTGGTCTCAAACTCCTGAGTTCAAACGATCCGCCCGCCTCAGCGTCCCAGAGTGCTAGGATTACAGGCGTGAGCCACCGCCTACGGCAAGTTTTTAAATACTTTTGAAAGCATGAAAATTAAGCGTCTGTGCACAATAGTGGGTGAAAAAAGAGCGGGCGAGTGGACAACAGCTGGAATCGTGTAAAGGCCCTCAGTGAGTCACGCCTTCCGGAAGCCTTCTGTGGCCTGAGTCCCCGGCTTGATGTGAGAGGATAAATGTACCAGAGAAGTAACAGGGAGAGCGGCAGAACCGACCCCTGTCTGTTTCCATCTGGGAGAGAGACTGTGAGTGAATGTTCCATAGGCACTTACATTTCAACTCTGCTGGGAGTGGTGCTCAGGCAGAGAATGTCTCCTAGGCCGTGTTCTATTGACCCAGAAAACTGTCAGGCGCCAGGATGCGGCTGCCCGCCGCCTCCCTGCCACTCCGCACCCGCACCCGGCCGGCGGCTTGGGGCTGGTTGGAGGGCACGCTGCTGGGGCCGGGCCTGCGGGCTGCCGCCTGCTGCCCTGGCCTGCGCTGGCCGGCTGCCTGTGCGACCTGGGTTGGATACTTTTTGAATCCCACTGTTGTTGATTGGATGTTAAAGCTTGTTACTGATTGGATGTTAAAGCTTGTTACTGATTGGATGTTAAAGCTTGTTACTGATTGGATATGAAAGCTTGTTGCCGATTGGACGCTTATTGAGTCCTGCCAAGGGTATAAAAACTGGAGGAAAGCAAGGAAGGAGGGCCATAAGTCAGAAGTTGGCTGAGCCTGCTGGAAGAATAAAGACTGTTCTCGACTGTTCGTGTGCTGCTCAGTTCTTTACCTGGTCAAGAGCTGTAACCCTAGATGTAACACCTTGCCACAACACTGTGAAGCAGCCTAACAATGAGTCCACCCTGGTGGAGGCAGATTGCTTAACCTCTCTTTCCCAGACCGTCAATCTTTACTAACATCAAATAGCGGCCACAAAAAGGCCATTGGTAATAAGATAAAGGGGAATCCTCTGGATGTTTTCTATCTCATTGAGAAATAAAAAGCTCCCAGACACAGGCCATGAGCATCTCTGGCAAAACATGACACAGTGGTTTCGTTATCTGGGCTGCAGTAAGTCTCCTTCTAGAGAAAAGGTCCTTGCGAATGCGGGGAAAACAAAACATCACTATGCCTCATCGTCATTGCGGCTCAGACCATCGCCAGTGGTGGAGTTACTCTCTTCCCACGCTTAAATGCGGCCAAAACGAATAATCCACGCAGGCAAAGTGCTGATATGCAAGTGTGCAAGTTCTGTCTTACTAGTTGGTCTATACCCTGGGAGCGCCTAGCTGTCTTAGTCTACTTGGGCTGCTATAACCAAGTACCACAGACAGGCAACTTGTAAATAACAGGAACGCATTCCAGGCGACAATATCCTAATGGCTACAAAGCACTCATATGTTTCCTAGAACTCAAATTTACTTCCACGTGAGTATCATAGCCTGCTGTGGGTATGAATAACAGAAACAAACCAAAGTCTGCCAAGTCCTTTCATGTTTCCTAAAATTTAGTCACAGAGTCTTGAAGAAAGATTACAGAGAGCAAAATATGTTTAATTGATAGTTTACTAAGATTGAATGGCAAGCACAGGTCTGAATCTCTGTTTATAATTCACCTGGTGATTCTGAGATCCTGATTATTTTTAGGAGTCAGCAGCACACAATGTGTGGAATAGGCTTCGTTATTTGGTGTGCCACATAATAATTACAATTTGTTTCCACTGAAGGATAGAGCCATTTGGACACCTTTACTGTCATCAATTAGAGCTTTATGCATAATTAAATTGCACAGCTAATTAGCGCACAATGAAATAAAAAAAAGGTCAGTTTGATGAATGGTGGAAATCCTCCACTTGAATAGCAAAATACCATTTTGAAGGCTTCTATGCAATGCCGTTTAAACCGCTAAGCTAGAATCGGGAGTCAGATTTCCATTTCAGGTCTTGGCATTTTCATTTATTTCTAATTAGCTAACTAGACTATAGCTCTGCAAGGAAATGAGCAGAGAGGTGATTTGCCTGTACACTGAGGACCTTCAGTCACCAGCTAACACCAAAGGGGCGTCCATAGTTCATGACAGGTTGCAAACCCTGTGTAAACACTCTTGGTTGGATCGTTATCCCAAACCTGGGGGCATGTTACTTTGTATCTGCAGTAAGTTTCCCGGAGCAAACTTGCGTGAATGTCATGTTCCATAGCGCCACGCAGAGGAGTGAGTGGGATTCCGTCTTCTTTATTTTTGCATACATTTCGCTTCCACGAAAGGAGTATTATTTTATTTTTTAACTCTAAAATGTTGTCGTAAGAATTAGATTTTGTGGAATTCAGAAGTGCACTGTCTTAGCCGCATCTGAGCATGTTTACTATTTTCCTTTTTTGGTAGGCATCCGAGGGTGTTCGGTTTCGTGGGTGGCAGGGATGAACATAATGTCCTGACCTTTTTGCAACATCAGCACTCTTGAGGGTTTGGTTTTCCTGTACTTGTCGTTCTGTGGATTGATCGTGCCGTGTCCATGTGATGGACATTCCTGGCATTCCTGGCACCCTTTTAACTCATTCAATATAATGTTTGTTACTTTTCAGTGTAATCAAACTGTAAAAAATAAGATAGAACTGCTTTTAGCATATTATTTTTAATAAGTAATACATTAATAAAATTCAAGAGATATAAAGGGTATAAAGTGAAAAGTATAGGATCTCGTGGATTCTACAATTTGATTTTTTTTGCACTTTTACCACAGCTGAAGTTGCATTGCCATATGAATTTTAGGATTAGCTCGTCTATTTTTGCAAAAACAAATCAAATCAAAGCTAACAAATAAGGCAGTTAGAATATTGATAGGGATCACTTAAATCTGTAGGTCTAACTCCAGACTTTCCACATCTTAAGAATGTTAAATATTTGTTTTTCTGTGTATATGTAAGACATTATGTGTTGTGTGTATATATTGCATGTGATATAGAAAATATATTAAGACATTCAGCGTGCTCCGAGAAATGAAACATTCTATGTTTGCATAGTATAATCCCTTTCCTTATGAGGTGAGGAAAAAACTCCACTGCAATGATTGTAGTGGAATATGTATCATAAAGATAATGTCCTAATAAAACTTCAAGTGGGTAAATACCAGGGGGATAAAAGCTAAGCATTCATAATAGAATGTTCTAGAGAAGTAACCAATGCAAATAAATAGTTTAGGAAATGTCTAATTAGGCAAACACCTAAAATATGAACCAGTTAATAGTCTAGAACATGCTTAATTGTCTATTTCAGTTGAAGACCAATTGGCTATAGACAGTTTAGTAATAGCTGTTACCGTATGTGTAAAATTTCAAATTAGATGTGGATATATACTACCACTCCATTTTGTCTGCGGTTTTTCCTTGATTTAATATTGCTTTAAAAGAAATAATTCAATGTTCTAAATACAGCTTTGAAATTTTCTGATTTCAATAAATTGTTTAAGTCTACTTGCCATGAATGCTTAATCCAATGAAAGTGGAATCTCTCTCCAGTAAATGCCCTCATGCCTGGTCCTCTGTCACCTAGATATTTGGTATCTTCACCATGAATCTTTAATATTTTGAACTATACATCATATAGCTTTTCTGTAGAGAAAAGTCATTTATACATGCAAATCACCCCTCTTTCATTCTGTATACACACAGGGAGCAAGACTATGAATTATTATTATATGAATTATTATTGAATATGAATTATTATTATAAGAAAATTTAACTTTAACCTAACTATAATTGATTGGCATCTGCGATCTTTCTAATATGATGAATCCAAAAATGTTATAATGAAATAAAATATGATCAATATGAATCTGTATCACTTCATACTGAAAATTATTATTGAACAAAAATTCATGCCTAAAAGGAAAGCAAGTGGTAATCTAATTCAGCATTAGTCTAATACTGGTGGTAGCAAAAATCTTTAAATAAAAGCAAACTTACGCAAACATGGATAACTGAAACTAGTAAGTGCCCTGTGCTTGCCAATACATGTACTGAACTTCTTAGATTTTACCAGAAAAGAGATTTTAAAATCTTTTTTGTGTTCCCTTGATCAATAACAAAAGTAGCTACTAAAAACAAGTTATATGCCAGGTGGTGTTTTGGCATGTTGTAGTGTGTGCATTTGTGTGTGTGTGTAGGGGAGGAAGGTATCTGCTGTCTCCTGTCTGAGAAAGAATGAACACAACAACACCCTTAAATACAATATGACACGAGGCATCCTTTGTAGCTCCGAGAGCAGCACAATGTATGATAATGGGAGAGATACTATACAGCATGAGTTCTGTTGTCATCTGAGACGAAACAAAGTACCATGTTTCCCCGAAAATATGGCATGGTCTTATATTTATCCTCAAGAAAACACCCTAGGGCTTATTTTCAGGGGATGTGTTATTGTTTTTTAAGTGCGATATAACCATCTACATTTATTCAAATAGAGTGAAGTCGTCTTCTTCTGCAACATCATCATCACTCTCCAAACCCCGAATTCCATCCTGAATTTCTTGCGACTCTATTTCCTTTAGAAACATTGGTCCCAATCTCTCACATCGAGCACTAGAGCTCTCCTGGGGCAGATGAGAAGGGCTGCTCATCTTCTTTCCCGCTCGCGATGACGTGCATGGATTGGTTGTGCAGATGCATGCATAGCCACGCCCAGCACTAGGGCTTATTTTCGGGGGAGGGCTTCTATTGTGC